AAATCGGTTCTGTAAAAGTAAGGTTTTTACACACTCGAAAACCGGGTTTTGGTTTTTAATAATACGAATTCTTTGAATCTAATGTTTAATTATTGAGATAAGAATTAATCGTGCTGTAATCCCTCATTCCCAAGTTTACATTTAATTTGAATTTTGCATCAAATTTGTGGTTATTATATTTGCTAATTTAAAAAAAAATTTGAATAAAACCGTCTTCAAAACCCGGTTTGTGCGAATCAAACACATTTTTCCTACGAATTTCCAAAATCCAATTAATATAAACCTGGTTTCGTAGAATTTTCCTAAAGCTAATTAATCGAAAACCGGTTTTACCACAATTTTAAAAAGCGAAATAAGCGAAAAACTTATTTGATAAAAACTTATTTGATAAAAACTTCCGATTTTGGTCGCCTTATTGGTGAATGCACATGATTTCTAGTTAATTGGGTGGAATTTAGATTGAGCTATTTAGTGCTCAGGGGTCCTTGGTCAGGGCGAATTTTTGGCATGAAAATGTTTAGCATGAAATAGGAAAAGCAACTTGGGAACACTTTTGGGTTGATTTATATGAACAAAAATGTTTGGTACACATTGTATTGAAATTCCGGAGTCCTGTGAAGGTGTAATTTAATAGAAATCAAAGAATCTGCCGCTTCGCGTCAAAATTCCTTCCTGAGTACTAAGCTTTAATCGTTTGATGAGCGACAATGGTAATTGTTGTGTCTGGGACTCCCATACTGGGAGGACACTTATTTCCGCTATTCTCTCTCCGCGAGGTATGTATGTAAAATTTGTTTTGATTTTAGGGGATTCTATTATAAGAGAATCCCCCAAAATTTAACACTCAATTGCATTTATGCAATTGAGTGTTAATAAGAACATTTTCCTTCTGAAAATTTGGACATTTCTAATGGAATGTCAGACTCTGTATATTTTTAGACTTTTATTTGAATCAATGCATTCTTCCTCACATACAAATACCGTAACATACGTATGTACTTATCTTGTTACAGAATTAATGCATCATTGTGTTCCTCATACATACTGCTGAAAACGTTAAACTCGGTACCGTTTTTTGAGATTTTTAGTACTGATTCCAAAGGGCAAAGAGAGCGGAATTAGCACCAATATTATAAAATTCTAACTGTATGTGCAAATTATAATTAACATCATTGACAGGGAAATTAAAATGAGCCGAAAATTGTTTCATGTAAAATTTACTCCGCGGTTTGAAATTTGGATATCTCCATCCGCAGGTTTGAAGTTTTACAGGCATTGAAAATTTTGAGAAACTACGCCGCTGTCAATTTCAAAAGAATTTTCTTTATGCTAAATATGGGGAATTTAAGACTGGCAGTGGCGTAGTTTCTCAGAATTCTTAATTTCTGTAAAAGTTCAAACCTGCGTGGATAGAGAGTATGTAGACGCCTAGATGTCATAATTAATTTTACGACCCACTTTGAAGCAAGATAAAATGTCCCAATGACTAGATATTTTGCACCAGTTTTGAATAGGCCGGACTGAATGTGTGCTCCAGGCCGTCCCAATCCAAGGAACGCCACTGAATGTTCGTACCAAGTCACATTCTGGATTATTGCCGGCGTCCACGTGGCTGGGATGGGGCCGTGTTTTTAGGTCGGGAGGAAATCCGGGATTTTTTCAAGAAACGGGGAGGAGAATAAATTACGTTAAAAATTAATGCTTTGAATTATAACTTAATTATTTGAATTAAATGACATTTCAGACTGGATAAGTTTTGTTTCTTTTTATTGTTGTAAGTTCATGCTGTGTTTATTTGATTCTGAAATTTGCAAGAAATCGATCACACTTTAAAAAAATTAAAGCCTTTTGAAAAGGAAAATTGAATCGTACTAATATTTTTTATGAAGTAAACTGTATTAATGTTAACTTGATAAGGGGTAAAACTTACTCTGGATTTAGTTCAGTCTACTTCAGAAGTCAACGCCGACGGTTTATGCGGCGGCGCCTGCGTGATAATGGATATTGCTCGGCAGCGGCGGCGTCAGCGGTAAAATATCTTCGGCGACTCCGACATTAATAATGAAACGCGTTTGCATGAAATTGTGAGGATGTTAAACATCTTACGATGAGTAATAGGAAAAAGCCATATTCTTATCAACTTCATAATTTAAAAGCAAAATTATGAAGTTTAAATTTTAAACTCAATCAGCATTATATAATTGTTAAAAAATATATAAATAAATAAATTTAAAAAATTTCATAGCACTTACGTAAATCCTCTGTTTATGGGGGGAGGGGCTAAAATTTAAAACTGTATTTAGAGCTAAACCAGACCAAGCGTTCCACAGAAGCATTTTCCATATTTCGCAACGGAATAACCAACTGAATTCCCAACGGAATATGGAAATGCTTGCAGGGCTGTTCAATTACTGATGGAAGTAATTAATTCTTAATTCTTAATTACTCCGTCTGCGAAAATTGGAATTAAGTACTAATTACAAATACTTCTTTGTCCAGTAATTGAACTTAGTTATCAATTACAATTACTTTACAAGCATGTAATTAATTTTTAATTACCAATTACTAATTAGTAATTGAAATTCAATTACTTAATTACTAATTACTTCATCGTAATACTAAAAATTAATCAAACGCTGTTTAAAGGCTAACTAAAATTCATTGCCGAATAGGATAAACCTTTTATAAATAATTTGATACAGCAAACCGTCCATCTATATGATCCAGAAGTTTAAAATTGCTGTGGATCTTTACTCTAGACAGATAATGGTCTTTTCTTCCCACAATTACAACATTCAAATTGTTAATGAGTATATTTCTATCTATTGTATTTTACCTGACTCTGACTAACGAGATTGTTTAGGTAATTTTTGCATTCCATGGAACACAACTAAAGGGTGTTAATAAAGTCCGATCCCATTTTTCCTATAAAAAAGTGAAGGCTAGTATAAAAAAAACTACCCGTGATACTTACAAAAAATGTTCGACATATTTACCTTAGTATTTGGTCTTGTTACCATTTACTTTAACCATGCCCTCAACTCTTTGTTTAAGGCTCTGTGCTAATTTTTCCAATGTGTCTGTGGGAATCGAATTCCATACATCTTGAACTTTTTTTACTAGCTCTTCCCTCGTCCGGGGTTGTGGTTCTTTGTATACATTTTCCTTAAGTATGGACCACAGGTTCTCCAGGGGATTCAAATCTGGGCTGTTTCCGGGCCACACCCCCTTGCTCCAGACCGTTGAAACTTGCGTCTTGATGAGACTCAAACTCGCTTTTGCTGTATGGGCTATAGCACCATCCTGCATGAAAACTATTTTTCTTTCATTCGGAAATATTTCCTTGTTCCCCATGCTATCGAAATAGATAGGTAATATTTTTTCCATATAATGCTTTGCATTGACTGATTGGCCTTTTGGTATGATATGTAGAGGGGTCACGCAACGTGCACAAAATCCACCCGCTACCATAACTTTAAGCCCGAATTTTGGGATCGCTCTTGATGGTACATCCGATTTGTTTTCTGTCCTGTAACGAACATTTTGTTGGTTCAATTTTGGATATAGTTCAATAATAGATTCGTCAGTCCAAAGGATGTGACTGCGCAATTCTTCACCAAGTCTTTTTTCACTCAAATGGGCACTTTTCTGAAGGAGTTCTTCAAATTTCAGACGGTCATCGATATATTTTTGTGACATGAGAGGTTTTTTTGGTTAGTTTGTAAGCTGTGTGACCCCACTTCGTAGTTTTCACAAATTTTTGCACGGTCACACAGTTAATTTGCTTCTTCTTCTCTTTATAGCGTTTTGAGTCATTTAACTCCCTTGCTCAATTACGTAATGAACTACCGGTTTTCTTGCAAAGTCTGTTTTTAATCATTCTTTTTGTGGTAGGTGACACCTTTCTGGGTCGCCCGGGTCGCTTTTTGTCGTGGACAAAATTTTTGTTCTTCCATTTCCAAACAGTTCTGCGGCTGCAGCCCAATTTTTGCACAATTTCTGCAGGTTTAAACCCCTGCTGATGCAATGTTTGTATCTTAACTCTAAGATGCTCATGACTTACACGTTTAGTTGTTCCTCCCATGGTAAAAATTTGAAATAAATAACTTCACTGGTTCAAAAGTTCCAGCTGAATTTGTAACAACCGCGCTCCAAAAAATTCATGGGATCGGACTTTATTAACACCCTTTAGTTGAAACAATTGTAATATAAAATTGGAATAAGCTTAAAAGGCGAAGGCTAATGGGAATGATGACCAAAGTGTTCACAACAAAAGATATTTACATAATTCGAGTTTTTCGCCAGAGGGGCACTTGTCCTCTTTCATTCCAAGTATGCTCCATTAAGTAATTGATCAAAGTAATTGGGTATTCAATTACTAATTACTACTTGACCAAGTAATTAAATACTTCCAATTTTAATTACTCCACGTCCTTCAAGTACTTAAGTACTTAATTACTTTGACAATACCGGAGTAATTAAAATCAATTATCAATTACCAATTACTTCAAGTCCGGTAATTAAGTAAGTAATTAAGTACGAAAGTAATTAAGTACCACAGCCCTGAATGCTTGTTGTGTTTTCAACTCAATCCTGGCTTGCATATGCATGAAAAGGAGCCGAATTTTATCATGCCGTTATTGTTTAAACTATTTCAAATTGAAATTTGCTAGGAGAAGATTTCAACTTGTAAATTATATAAAAACTAAAAAAAAACTATTATTTTTGACAGGATTTGGTCGGTCATCTTGTTCAAAAAGGGGTTAAGAAGAATGCCAAAGGGTCAAACCTTGTAAATTCGTCCATGTCACATACATATCCAGTAAATATACGTCACTGAAAAAATGAAAAATCGAAAACCGGTTTCACGAAAGTTTTCCAAATTCAGAAAAATCGTAAACCAATTTTTCAAAATTTTCCGATTCTGGATGCCCTAATCTACCTCAATATAGTAAAAAACAGTTTTAAAATAAGTGAAATAAGAAATAACACACTTTGAGTATTTGCAAAGGGTATATATTTATTTATTACGGTAACACTCATTTTTAAATATATTTTTTTAATGTAAAAAATGGATCGGAATTCTCAAAATGCTGATCCGATTCAACCCTGATTTCCACCATATTTATCACATCGGTGATAATACAAAGCATTTCTTCGCGAAAACTGTGCACCACAATGAGAACAAGGATACGACTTGTCGGGATGTTCTCGGAGATAGTGTTCCATCCTGAGAAGCATGTTGCGGAACGTGGTTTTGCAAAATAAGCAATAGCATCCGATTTTTGTGATCTGCAAAATACAATTTATTGCTAACGTCGCATAGCAGGCGGGTTTTGAGTTTGAATTGTTGTATCTCAACTTTCCCTGATTCGGTATAAATAGGGATTTTGAAACCTTTTAATTGTCTTGCGTTTTTAGAATAAGATTTTAAGGTACCTAAAAATCGATAATTTTTAGATTAATGAAGTTAGGAGGGTAGAATCTTAACGTTGGATTAGGTGACTCATCGCCTGTGACGTCACAGGCCTAAAAATCAGCACATTTCCATCCATTTCTTGGTTCTGGAAATTTATTTTTAAATTCCAAGAACCGCTTTTGTAGAGCAGGTCGTTGCCAATTTATTAAAAATATACACTCCAGATTTTGACAATTTTTGAAGGAGGAATTTCGAAAATAGTGAAAAGACATAAGACCTCTAGGAAAATTGATCCCCTACAAATCTTAATTCAAAGAAAGTCATTGCCATCCTGTTAATTAGCTTACTGACTACAAAAGCGGTTCGTAGATTTTCTAATTTTGATTTCATTGCTCCAGAAAACAATTTTGAAATCATGGTGTGGAAAGTAACTTAATAACATGGTGAGGTATGTAGGTAACGTAAATCCGCCACTAAGTGGTCATGCACTGACCACGTATTGTATTAGATTTTAATAGATTGAGTAAAAACACGATAAAAATGATTTTACAAGAAATGAAAATACAATATCTAGTGAATGGATGTCCCCGATTTTCCTACCAAAACAAAGGAACATGTGTTTTTGTGAAAAAGTAATATAAGATAAACAACTTTCGCGCCCTGTTTTTGCCTGTGAGATTGTTTGAGACGATGAGTCACCAAGAGGAATCTTAATATTGTTTTCATCAACGAGAAAATATTTAAATTTTACTGATTATTTTTTATTTATTTTCTCATTGAAGAAAAAAATCCAAATTCTAACACTCTAACTTCGTAAACTTAAAAATTATCGATTTTTAGCTGTACAAAATCTTAAATCAAAAAATTTAAAACGCTCAGCGATGAACAAGCTTCAAAATTTCCATTTGAATATATGAGACATTACAATTCAAACTCAAAACTCTCTTACAATGCCACCTTAATACCATGTGTAAAACTTTGTGTATAAATAATTCAAAATTTTTACCATTTTTGGAGACTTGCACTCCTCCAAATGCTTCAGCCAGTCAGCCCCCGAAGTAAATCTGGTCGCGCATCCGTACGGACATGACTTCCGGTCCGTAAAGTGGAACAATTCCACGTGTCGATGCAAGCCGGTCGAATTGGAGAAGGTTTTCGTACACATCTCACACGGCGTCCGCTTCGACGTAGGCTGGACCACGTGGTGGAATTTTTGCATGTGCTTTCGCACCATCGCTATACTTGAGAAGACTTCCGGACAAAGGGTACATTTCCGCTTGACTCGTAACCCTTCGTGCACGGCCCGGAAGTGTTTACGTAACGAGGGCCCCCGGATGAAACGTTTGTCGCATTTGGGACATCCATGTGGCCTCTCGACGCCAGGACAGCGGCTAAATAAATGAATAGATTTGCTTAACCTCTTTTCCTTTAAATGCGTCTGACGTATTTCAGAACAAGTACGTTAATGTCAGTGGCGGATAAAGCCAAGTCGGGGCCCCTAGGTGGAATTTTTTTGGGAAGTAATTTGATGTCTCTCCAAAACAATGAGAATTGCCAGGGTTTCGTTTTTCCCGTCAAAAACGATTTTTCACCACGGCAGGGGGGAAAGAGTGGTAAAAACCGGGAAAAACGGTTTTTACCGTCCAAAATGGGAAATATGGCTGTCCATGTATTTAGTTATGGGGAAAGCTAATTTCTTTAATAATCAATATTTCCGGAATTGGACTTCATATTCGTCATCTCCACGAATTTCTGAAAATTTTGATATGTAATACGGGCACTTTTGATCAGTTTTAATTATTTTTACAATTTTCCCATATGAATACATATTAATTTTAGAGATTGTTCGAATTGAACCGTATTAACAACTAGGGTTTTACATTGTCAACTTGTCATGACATTTTGACATGTCATAAATGTCATAAATGTCATAAATGTCAGACTTTTATTTTTATTGACAATTATGACATCTATGAAAATTTGTCAAATTCGAAATTGTCAACTTTTCTGTCAACTTGTCATTGGCAATTATGACATTTTCACTGTTTATCGCATTTTTCCCTAACAAAAAAGTCATCGTAGGCGGTATATTTTGTTTTTCAGCTACACATCTTTCCTCTCATATACTTTTTCACTACAAACGACACTTAAAATATTATATTGACTGATTTATGATTTAAACCTTTATTCACGTGTTAATAGTTATCAGTTTAAAAAAACTGGTTTAAAAACTATGACACAAAAAGATATAACTCTGTAATTAACCTAAAATAAGAATAAAATCACTTCATGTAGATAACATAGAATATTGAATCTGAAAACCAAGTTCAATTTGAACAGTTGAAAAGCAAACTATTAATCAAATTAGAGTACCGAATTATAACCAAGGTAAACAATCCATGTCAAATAATTTTGGTTACCCAATACCACCGTTTTCCAACATGCTAATGCAAATTAAATACTTGCACTTAAAATCCATAGTTGTAAAGTACATATCAGAGAGTTGATCTCGTACCGGGTTCAGTACTTTCACTAATTTAAGGAGTACTTTTTTAAAATCAATAGGCTTGTAAAACACACTCGTATTAAAGGACTTACTTTTAAATATTGGAACACAAGTGGGGCACGCCCAATTTTTAGAAAGAAATATTTTACAATAAGAATAATCAGACATGGAAACATTGCAATTATTCTTGTGAAAGAAATTAAAACAGTAAATACACTGGAGCATTCCATCTCTCCAGGTATAACCCTCAGAATCAGAAATGTCATCTTTAAAAAGAAAGTTGTAGATGGTTCCTTTATAGGTGAAAATACTCGCAAGGTCATAAATTTCTTGGCCACAAAGATGACAGTCGGGTCCCGTTTCGTTCTCGCCATCGTCGTACATGTATTTGGCCTCAAAAACCCTGTTGATCTCAGGAGGACAACCCTTCACCGACAGAATCACCGATTTCGATGTCCTTTGGATATGTTGTAGTACTAGGTGAGTCTAGCAAAAGTGAAGAAGGATTTCATTCCATGGCCCCATTTGCGCGCGCCACACCCACTAAAAGGTGCGAAAAACACGAAAAATACCCTGTTTCGGTTCATTCAAAAAATCACCAAAAATCCAATTTTGATCGGATTTTCATAATTTAAACGTTTTTGTGATCTTAGATAGTTGGTTTATCATATCCAATACCAAACTCAAATTTTTTGAAATTTTGATTTTTTCGAAGGCAGACCCTTGGTCAGGAAATTTTCGAAAATACTCAAAAAATTAAAAAATTTGAGTTTGGTATTGGATATGATAAACCAACTATCTAAGATCACAAAAACGTTTAAATTATGAAAATCCGATCAAAATTGGATTTGTGGTGATTTTTTTGAATGAACCAAAACAGGGTATTTTTCGTGTTTCTCGCACCTTTGAGTGGGTGTGGCGCGCGCAAATGAGGCCATGGAATGAAATCCTTCTTCACTTTTGCTAGACTCACCTAGGTCTACAACATATTAAAAGGGTATCAAGATCGGTCATTCTGTCGGTGAAAGGTTGTCCTCCTCAGCGTTCTCATCATCGGAAGATTTTCCAGGCAGGATGATATTGTATGTGGAGGACTGGGTTCGAGAAATGGCGTCAACCAGAGCCTTCATATTGAAAGGGCCGAGGGAAATACTCGATCTAATTTACGCAAGATGCAAATTAGAGTCAGTTGTCTTTGTCTGATGGGCAGATGGTATGTTTCACATAAGGTTCCAGTCATCATCAATCCAATTTCCAAGCGGTGGCCAAGTCCATCTCAGGAAGGATAAGAGAGAAAACTTTTTTAGGGCGATGTTTAGCAAAAAGGAGAAGATGTCAATAATTAAATAATGAATTAATTGACTTGCCGGGCCTTGCCGGGCGGGTATGGTTACTGCTGTAGAGGTGTATTACGCACCAAGCAGAACCACACCCAGTGGCTTTTTTCCCAAAAGAGGGGCTGACGAAATTCTTGTCCCCCAGAATGAATGGATGATACGTTGCAGTCCAATCCTACAGAAGATTGGGAAGGGGAGAGTCTACTAGGCAGGAAACGAGGGGAGTCCAGTTGAGGTGGAGTAGGTAGCACCAAAAACACGGCAAAAGGACGGTCAGCCACGGTAAAGATGAAAACCTTCATCTACCACTGTCGAAATGGGTTTAATGGGAAGAAGTTGACACCGATTGCAAAGTTGGGAGTGCCCAGGAACTCACAAATTTTTGCAAAACAAAATAATCGAGACAGAGTAAATACGTATCTGTCCACCAGCTGACGACTTCCGTTCGTAAAATTATAACTTATTCCGTTTGTCTTTGATCATCAGTTGTATTTGGAGCATTTATTTGGAAGAGTTGGCCGATTCCTTGCATGTTGCTTACAATGATATTGACCTGAAGTCTGTCTTTTCTTATAACATAAAATGTTTTTCGTTAAACATGAGAGCAATATGAAGCTTGGACTACTGGTTGTCTACAGAGTTTAGGAAGGTCATATATTAATTCACTCGATACATAAATAATTCATCCAGCAGGATATACAGAAAGTTGCAGCCAGCTCGGTGAATATTTTCTAAAAGTTTCTACTTATGACCAACTAGGTAGAGTTAACCGCAACTAATTGAGATGACTGCTACCAATGCTACAACGTTTAAATATTTACAATTGTAGACCGGGAGACTGAATCTTACTTGGCAATCAAACTAAGAGAACTATAAATAAAATTGAAGCAGGCTGAAAAGAGGAAGTTCCTAAAACTTCTTCAATGAAATTGTGAACGGTCGTAATTAAGTTTGACGTTATACTTATCCTTAGATATATATAAATACGAGAGGATGGCGATTAATCGCCATCCACTCGTAAATCGCGATTTAACAAGAACATTTGTTGACTCGTTGAATTGCAATGAGGCAAAGAAGAGTTTTAATAGCTGCTACCAACATTACCTGGTCACGGGGCATATTGAGATTGGCAATTATGACAAATGTCATAAATGTCCGTCATATTTGTCATAAATGTCATACATTTTGAAGCTGTGACATTTATGACAAAAAATTGACAAATTGACATGTCATGACCTTTATGACATGACATGACATTTATTCCGTTGACACTGACAATGTAAAACCCTATTAACAACTAATTTTCTCAGAATTTGTTGGAGAATACAAATATGAAGTCAAATTTTGAAAATCTTAAGTTTTAAAGAAGTTGTTTCGGAGTGCCCCAAAACCAGAGTTTTTCCCATTTCTTCCATTTTTTCCATTTCCCACCCATTTTGAGTGGGTGGTAAAAATGCCTTTTTCCCACTTTTTCCCGCTGCCCTGGTCAATTTGGTTTTTACCAATCGAAACCCTGGGAATTGCCCTCCATGTATTTAACAAGCGACCTAAATGGAAAACAACCTCTTAATGCTCTAAATTTCCCTCTGGTTAAATGGAAGTAGCCTCTCATTTTGCATATCATAAATCTGCGTAAATTTCTTATCGGTCATGGGTCTTACAGCTTACTACCAGAGTCCGATTGAATTTGTTCTAAATCGGTTTAATATTTTTTTGTGATATTGAACGGTGTTTAAAATTCTTAACTATGTTGGTGTAATAATATAGGTATATGTACATATGTTTCAGTTATTTTGTGTGCTATGTTGTTTAGCAAGCATATTTTGTCAATTTAATAAAATTATGCGCTCTAACTTGATACGGAAAATGGCTTTCCTTACAAAGAACTCCGATTGGCGACAATATTTAATATCTGGTAGTGTTATCGAACTACAGATCTGTATTTTAACTTCTTCAAGAAAATATTCAGTTTCCACAACGTTGCACCGCTCCCAGAAATAAAATTAAGTCAGACGGTATCGCTTTAGAAATGACTGAAATTATTAGCGAAATTAAATTATTTGCCTTTTCTTTTAATCCTAACCACTTATGACTATTGCCTCAATAATTCCCAATTCAAGAATCGAAATAATATCAAGGAACTTTTTCTTTTCCCTTCCCGCGCGGTATCCTTCACTCTCAATAATTTTTTGACAATATTGTTACCGTCGGAGACACTATGCAATTCTACCGCGTGGTAACAATATAGTAACAAATTGTCTTCTGTGGGTAAGAAATTGCCTCAGGTATCGGTAATATTTTTATTACCTGAGCGTTGACATTGGGGCAGTGCAGGATTTAGCCTCTGTATATATGTTACCCTTCGGTGATAAATTATTACCTGAGCGGTAGAGTTGCATAGTACCTCCGCCGGTAACAATATCATCAAAAAATTATTGAGAGTGTTCCCATACTATTAGTATGGTAGGGATACGAGCGCGGGAGGGTAAAGAAAAAGTTCCTTGATATTAGGGAGGGTTTATTAAATCGCTATGAAATTTCTTTAGATTCGTGGGGAATTGGGCGTCAATTGGGGATCACCACGAACTAGATTGAGACACCGATTAATATAAAGAGGACAACATCATTTTTATTTGACAATTTTTGCATACGATTCCGCAAAATTTTCGCACACTTTAGTAGCTTAATAATAAATTTGGGGGCCCCTTGAAAGATATGAGGCTTTATCTAGCCAAATTTTCTTGAAATACAATTTTTGCCACATACATATTTGTTATATTTCAAGGATATAAAAAAATAAGTTTTGGCTAGAAAAAGTCTAACCTCTATCAAGGGGCCCCAGATTTATTTTAAAGCTGCTAAAGTTTGCGAAAATTTTGCGGAATAGCACGCCAAAATTGTTCGAACCCAAAAAAACATCTTCCAAGATTACATAATCTACACTGCAAATAACTCGGTTACGATTATAACCACAATCCAAGATATATGTTTGAGTCTACCACTGACTGGTTATCAATTTATAACCGACCGGGGAGAAATTTATTCCAAATGGGCAATAAATAATCGCAACCGAATACCTTCGGCATATTTACATAAATACTTAACCACCTATTTGTAGTTTCCCAAAAACTACTTGTTACGCGAGTACTTAATAACAATTAACTTAATAATAATTTATCTGCAGTATCAGTGAATTTATTTTTCGAAATTCGTTGACCAAACTTAAGTATAATAATATATACACCACGCTGCACCCTGGGGCCCCTATGTCACACCTAGCCCACATACCCTATTTATCCGCCACTGGTTAATGTGTAGTTTACAGTGCATCGATTTTCACAAAGGTAACATTATTTATAAGAGTGTACTTGTTGCCTATATTAATACTAAAACTCACCGTGTAAATCCGCTTGTGGTGGCTGAAACAAAAGACATGGCAGGAAAATTTGCATGTCGCAAGATTTAAAAGAAAAGTGCAAATATTCAAATTCGTAAAATATTTATGCATTGTATCCTTACTGCGTTTGGGGGCATGTTTCTGGTTCATGTGACGCGTGAGGTTGTCAACTCTGCGGAAGGTGACGTTAGGTTGACAGATTTTGCAGACGTATTTTGACCATGATTTGGTCCTCTCGGGAGGAGATTTGGGCTCAGATAATGCAGAGTCAGCATCAGACTCAATTTCATGGTCGTCTTGGTCGTGGTCATCAGGTGGCTCGACTTTTACCGAAAATTCTTCGTAAACCGATTCAGTTGGCCCTGGGTGGTCGCCATTATGCAACAATGTGACGCCGTGACGAACGCCAAAGTCTTCTCCATCACGGGAGGGTTCTACATAAATTGAATAAAAGATGACTTACTCGTCATTAAAATCGTCAAAAGCAGAACATTTTTAATCATTTTTCTCCTGTGGGAATTTATTTTACTAAATTTGTCCTCAGTGGGTTGATTGATGGAATTGAGGTAAGTTTTTTTAACCCAGTTCCATTTTTTCTGAAGGATTTTTCAATCGGGGATCTCCGTCGCCAAAAAGTGTAAAAATCTATGGGTATTTTTAAAAATGGCGATCTGGTCTATAAATTCAAGAATTTTAGAATAAATTCCCAGGCGCGATATATCATGAAAAATGTCCTTGAGTCCTATGTATGTGAATTAAGGATTAATCGAATAGATTATTAAAAATTGTTGAATTAACTATCAAAATTCACCAAAAATTTGCAAAAATTATTTACCAATAGTTTTGGACCCACTCCGCAGCTTATTAAACAGTCCGTTCCTGCTGGAGATGACGGCACGGAGAGAAATGGTAATATTTTCGATCTGCGTGGATAACTTGGCCAACGAGAGGATCGCGGAGGAGCAAATTTTACAGCAAAAAATGGGAGGATGATCTTCCGTTTGTAAAATGAGGGAAATGTGCTCCTGACTTAGGACGAATTTGGCCAGAATTTCCATCTCTTGGACGGCCAGAGGGAGAAGATTCGTCGATTCGGAGCAGATTGAACATGTTACTTCTGGGGGTGTCAAATTTGGCTCGATTTTGACGGGAAAGTTGTCAAGTTTTTGGTTCCTTGTGGGGACAAAATTTGCCCTGGAGAGAAGAACCGTGGAAGAAAGTAAATCTTGCAAAATGTGACTCGTCCCATTTTTAGTGGATTTTGAAAATCCGTCTCCTTCCGACATTTTCTTTATCTGTAAACTTAATTTAATAGTCTGTTCAGAATGATATACGCGAATTGTTTAACGCGAATTGGAAATGTGCATACCTTTAATTTTACATACGTATTATTCGTTTAAATTAGTCGGATTTACAACTGTATTGCATTTAATGACGTGCCAATTAAATATTTTAACTGCACCAATTTTTTTATTTAGGTTTATCCAGGAGAAACTCAGTGAAATTCAGTTTGACAGGTTTGTTTTATTTGAGCTGGTGATTTGATCGTGTATTTTTGAGTAAAGTGAATGCCGCCTTGAATGATGTAAATTGCTGGTGGGAGCGTGCATATATTACGTGATCAATAAAGGTTTTTGGGTGGTTTTATGTCGCCTATCTTACCCGGCTTAACCTTTTCATGAGTTGGATTGGGAAGGGGTGGTGTGAAAATGGAATTTTTTGATGACGTAATATATGAACGTTCCCTATGAGTTTTCATACTCAACCATTGTTTGCATACGTATGAAAAGCGATTCGACCAGAATTTTATCATGTGCTGTTATAATTTATGTAATTGTAGTTATTTATTTACAATAATTAGTTAGAAGTAATGAATAATTATGTACATATGTATTTCGTTAATTATAATTAGGCTGCTCGTCGAATTCAAGTAATAAAATATCCTTTCCTGGGCTCGATTTTCGTTGTTAGCTTATTTTTTATGTGATTCCTGAAGGGACAAGTTCATTGGACTCTTAGGTTAATAGTGTGACTTACAGACTTTAACTTTTTGGATGAGGATTGACTTCCAGTAGTTGGCTGGGAGAAATCAGGTCTGACATGTTAACGATGAAATTCTGTGTAAATATTGATTGTTCAAGTTTGTTTATCCGTGTGTCGAAATTGGACACACAATATGAAAATTGTCAGCAGTGTTGAGTATCTGAAATATATTAGTGGCATATTTTAATAAAAGGAGAATAAAATTGAATTAAGTTTTATGTTGATGGATCAGGCACAGAAAATGTGAGACTCTCGGAGCATACACGAGAACTACACTCTAAGAAATTGTATAACCGATTTGTCACCGACCTGGGGAAAGCATATTACCACCAACTCGGAAAAGATAATGACCACCTGAACCGGTAGTCTCGTATATCACCAGAATTCTTAGAGTGTAGATGTATTTATTTATGTACATATCGTAGCCCCAAATATTAAGATAACTAACCCCAAAGACGAAGTTATAGTTGTAGACGAATATTCCATCACCGCTTAATCCGACAGGATGCGAGGCCGCGTCCTGGGTCAAACTAATGAACAGGAGAGGGTCGTTTTCCAGGGCCTTTCGAACGTGTTGTTCATCAACCTGGAAGTATGCATTAACTAGGTATGAATTATAATTTTAGAAATTAGGATCGACTATTTTCGAAAATAAAAAACGGATCAGATCAAATTTGAACCACCCTCAGGTTTGAAATTCTCATGAAAATTTGACTTACTTTTGCATCCCATCAGTCCTTCGGGAGGCATCCGATAGCAGCAGAATTGTCACCATGACGACCAAAAAGGCCAGAGCGAGGTACAGTTTGGCGGGGCTGGTCTTACTCGCGACAATGTCGAGGAGGTGCGTGGCGTAGAAGAACATGACGTCGACCGCGTAGGGGAGCATGATCTTGGAGAAGGCGACGTTCATTAAATCTGACAGGGTTTTTAGGTCCTCATACATTTCCAGAATTTCAGGAACGGCTAACTATTTATAATTTTTTGAATTTGTTAAATTTTGAAATTCATTTTTATTGAAAAATAATTTTTTCGGAAAAATACATAAAATTTAATATGATCTATCTGCATTTTGGGGATATTTTCTTGTAATAGTTGAATAATATTTAGCTCCAATGATGTCGTTAAAGTGGGAGCGTAGGTCAAGAAAACCGCAATTTTTGGACGTCCCCTTATTGGAATTTTGCTGTGTAGGTTTAGATTAAAGTAATCTTTTGAATTTGACCTTATCTTCCTCTACGATTCTGTAAAAGTGGTAGGATGGAACCCACAACGTAAACGCGATGATTAGGGCGAACCAATCGCCACAAAATGGAATAAGTACATCGTGGCCAAGAATTATCTGACCACCCAAAAAAATCTATAAATCGGTCCACAAAATGGGCTGAAACTTTTTTGTTGTCGTGTTCTCGGAACTAATTTTTTCTGACAATGTCAACCAGACTTGTACCTTCATTTCTGGAAAAAGTTATAAAACTAACCAAACGTTTGGATGAAGCAGAAGGAATTTCATAAATTGGTCTAAAATTTTGAGTCCCTAGGAATATCGTCACGTTCTGAAGGAACCAGAAGGCAATCAGCCAGGCTAATCATCTCAGACGACACACCACATCCTCGGTCAGACCTGAGAATGCGATTTTTACAATAGTCCAACGAAAACCTGGGAGTTCGACAATAAATTGTGAGCCGGTCCAAAATCTTAAATATCGATTTTGACAATTTTATTAGAAAATCTATCGTTCCACTCTCCAGAATCAAGTAAACACCAGTGACTGGGGTCACATCTCTTCCAGACCTCCAAAACAAACTCTTTTTCGGTCAACAATATAAGGTCGAGTTGATTTTGGCGAGTTTCTAGATGAAAACCGCTATTTGACTGGTGGTATAAAGGGCCCAGGAATTTTGTGTACGCGCATGACCAAAATATATGGTAATCCTGTGGTGAATCCACACTATATGAGGTAGCCAATTGTGAATAGAAACCGGTTTCCCGAGACGAAGATTAGAAAAAAGTGACTACCATTAATGGTTTGTATTTAGCTCTGGTTTCGAGGCGTGACGGACCTGGTCGTCACTTTTGGTTGTCAAAATTTAGACGTACGGTTTTACCGTGGTCATATCTTGCCCTTCTACTTCGATACTATGGAGACTGAGCAACTTTTTCCAAATTCGAAAGAAATTCCATATTAACTGGATGGAATATTAGCCCACACTTCAAACACTATTATTTGATTTTTCGAGTGTCGGTCGTTTACCATCTTGGCAAAGGGGGTGTGCCTCGGAAACACCATGCCTGGAATTTCTTACCCCACCAACCCGCAATGAGGGGAGAACACTTTGAAAAAATACTGAAAATTTTTTTTCAATAGTGATAAAAATGAACGATGATGTTACTCAAATCAGTCAATTTACAACATATCGACCTTAGCAAGTTAAAATCATACTTTTTACACATGATAATCATAGAAATCAAATAATTAAACAAGTAATTTCAATATTGACCACCTTCAGTGTAGCAAAAAAATTGGAAAAAATAGAATTTTCCCTGTTTTCAGAGAACATTTTGAAAATTAGTGGGGAGAACACTTCCAAATTCATGTAAGAAATTCCAGGCATGGGAAACACCCCGGTCATTACCCCAATTAAAAATTTGTGGCCCTAGCTTAAATTTAAGGCGGTCTACGAAAAAGTTCCAGACCATACTGCTTCCAAGACCTCATGTTTAAAAAACGTTTGGAAAAAAATTCCCAAAAGTGTTTTGGAAAATCTGTCAGAAAATTTGAGGAAAAAAATTTCATAACATGCAAAATCGTCTGGAGGACCCACAAGACATTAGTTTAGAACATACTGTAAGAGTTTTTGTTAGTAAAATGTTTTTCTTGTGAAATTAACAAATGTTTGAGACCATACCTCGCCTGGTCAGATAATTCTTGGCCACGATGTATTAAGTATATCAAGACAACCAAGCAACACGTCGGACCAGTCGGATGTCACTTCCTCGTTAACCAAGTCAGTTGTAAGGTCGTCATAGAAATAGGAAATCCAGGGAATATTCCTGGTCCAGGTTTGCTTTAGAGATATCACGTCGTTGTGAAATTGTGTGTGAAAAAGTTGCTGGTCCTGTTCGTCTGGATTAAACAGGATGAATTCGACGAGACAGCGCAACGTGGAGAGGAGGGTGACAGCGGTGATGAGAAAGTGGCTGGAAACCTATAAATGTACACAAGAAAGGCGGTTATGAAGGCATTTTTGACCTGATTTAACCTGTGGGGTGCCAAAAATCCACTGCAGGACTTTTTCCCCATGTAGAAGGACGGATTACGAAACAATTTATACGTTTTTTGAGGACGGTTATTTATGGAGTCAGAAAGGATAAGCCCGAACCTAAACAGTACATGGTTTGAAATGGTGTAATAAATTTATTTTTTATTGAAAACTTATGAAATTTTTGGCATTCAGAGTTAGATATATTGATTTGATTCTACAAAAATTTGAGATTTTTAAAATCATTTTTTGACCATTTTTTACGTCAAAGTTCCCCATCAATACTTTCTAGGCGCTTTGCCCTAGGTTCAAAGGTAGACAAAATGTATGACTCAAAGGGAGATTGAATCATCTATTCACTTACTTTGTGCAGATAACTGGTTAACTTCCAAACTGGTTTCTTCACCATATTTTCGCACTGATGAACCACTTCTGGCAAGAGAGTGGACATTCTGAAGAAGATGAAGTACGTTAAAAATATGTAGTTCCAAAGGGTAGCCGCGCTTTGAAAGAGGTACAAATAGTCGACTGGGTTTGCCCCAAATTTGTGCGAACCGTCGGTGCGAACTTCCGCAACGAATTTCGATAATGCCAGGAAATGGAGAAAGCCGCATAATACCTGGGGATAAATGAGACTCATGAGATTTATACAAACACCTAATAGCGCAGAATTTTACATCTTTTATGCAATCAGGGGCCAATTGAGACTATGCAGGCTTAAAAATAATGCTACCCATTTCAGAAGTATACAAATGCGCAGTCAATTCAAAGTCTAAATTAAGTAGACTTTTCGAAATTCAAAATAACTATGAAGTTAACTGTTCTTACTTTGTTGGGCTGATTATTAATAAATTAATTTATACCAAAAATGAGCGATCACTTTTGTATGCTTTGAAAAACTTCAATGCCCCTGAGAAAACCTGACAAATTTCTGTAAGACACAAAAAAAAGATGAAAATTATGCTTAATTTGAAAATACCTTTTGAATTTTGTTCCAACGAGGTACATATTTCCAATCTACGGGCCCTTTAACATCCTTTTCAAGTTTCCAGGGAAAACACAATATATAGTAAGAAATTTTAGTAAAGACTTTTAGAAAATTGGAAAATCCACCCAAATCAGGAATCGGTTTTGAAGCATTAGTTCCTTCCAAGGTAAAAACTTTGTTGGGAATTTTATCCAAATAAAATATTTTGCTGGACGGAATTAAACTCATGTCTGGTTTGAAAATCATCGTCATGTGGAATTATGGTGTAAAAAAGGTAACCACTTGTCCGTTCAAGGAGGTAAAAATTCAATTTGGTTTAAGTATTATTTTATTAATAATCAACACTCTAAAAAATGTTGGGCTGAATTTCAAAATTAATTGTTTTTGTTCATGGAAAATCTGTTAAAATTAACACGTCTCACGTGTTTTCGACAAATTCTGTCGTTGCAATTTAACATTGAGTGACTTTTCGTGATCTTTCAGGTCAAAGTTGAGGCTTGAGGCTGCATTATCTTTTCAAAAGGGTTACATTATTTTTAAGAGTGAAGACTAAATTGAGAGGAGACTAAGTTATCAAATTGTTTTGTGTGAAGTACATACACCCTGTTGACACGAGTTCGTAGGGAATTATACAAATTGATTCTTACTGCATTATTATGATAGTGATAAAAATAAATTTTATAATGTTTGATTAAATGATTCGATCAATTCATTCAGAGAATGAATAAGTAATTACTTAAGTCTATCAGGTGACCAATCTTACCTATCGATTTATTTATTAGAGGAACTGACTCACGGTATATTTCCCAAAATATTGATTAACAAAGAGCTTAGGTCCATAAATTATGTAACGCAAAAATCGCAATTTTCTAGACCCTCCCCCCTCCGCCTCTTTAACACGTGTAACATAGGCACGATATCATTGAAGCATTACACCCCCCCCCCTTCTCGCGTTACGTAATTTGTGGACGGCAGATATCGATTGAATAAAAATGCGTTGGCGTTTGCCTGCCTATAACACTCTGTTGTGTTGCAATTTAATAATTTGGCATTATTGTAATGACAAATTTAATAATTTAGGAATTCATGCCTAAATAATAACTATGTATGCAAATATGTTGGGAAGTCTCTGACGTTCGTCGCATGGATTATGTTTAGTATGTGTAAATTATTGCTGCCTCATATAAATAAAATCGGTGTAATTAAAGTTCTAAATTTTTAGCAAAACCGATAAAAACCTGTAAAATCTGTGGACAATTGGGTAATGCAGAATGCATGTTTATCCCAGTGAGGAAGATGCGCATACAAATATTTATGTGCACTCTTAGAAATCCAGTATAACACCAGGCGGTATTCGTACATTTGTACCTGACTCCACCGAAATAACATCATTTCCGTCTGATAATGTATTAAAGTTTTACCACATTAGTTGAAAATTTTTACTGACTGATACATCCACTCTAATAAAGCGTTAGTGTTAAGTCGCTGACTGAGTCCCTGTGGCTCTCAATGCACATTGCCCCGTAGAGGAGACAAAGAAGCAAGCGGAGCAACGGTTGCATGCATGAATTTTCTGCATGAGTCTCACTTCGCCTGCACGTGACTTTCACGTACGTACACTTGCCATCAAACTCAAATTAAATGTTTTAATATATAAACACAGTGTGCAAGTATTACTTGCACACTCAATTTAAAATTGAGTGTGCTCACATCACTCATCAATAGTGGTTATCATGATAAGTGATCTTGATAAACACTATTAATTAATTATTTTAGTTTGAGACACTCCACCTGCAACGACTGGAATATCAATTCGAATGTATTTTTGACGCTAAATCCAACGCCGTTAATGGTTTTGACCTCCGAGGCCCGCGTGACCTTCCCGTGACCGTGGGGGTAAATATGGCTTATTCGTGATGTCGCATATCAATTCGAATGTATTTTTGACGCTGAATCCGAATCCGTCAATAGCTTGGCGTTAATTGTAGAAGTTAATGGGGTTTATGGAACTTAACGGGAGCGTGAAGCGTGGGAATTTAAATAGTTAGCTATGCAGTTACTCCCACGCGACGGGAATTTAAGTAATTAGCTATTCAACTACTCCCACAGGGGGAAATCAAATTGTACTGTGACCAGATTAATTAAAATGCAGCATGACTTGGGCAAACCCTCACTCTGATGTATGCATGTGGTATGACAAAGTCTCCAGTGGAAATTATTTAAAGTATAGTATGACGAATTTTTCGCTTTGGGCACACCCCCCACTGGAACCCTAGAACCCAGCCTTGGCCGGGCTATACGCTAGTACATATATATAATTTAAATACCAAGTGATGTCAACTTTAATTAATACCAAAAAATTAATACATTCCTGATTGTACCAGAGTAGCAATAATGTAAACCAGAATTTCGAAAGACATAAAAAAATTTGATTTTGATAAGATTTGCACCGTTTGTAGAGGTGATTTTTGTGAGTGCAACGGTAACAATAATTCGGTTCAACTCCGCCCCTTTCCCCGGGGGGAGGGGCCGAAAATCGCAAAAACTGCAAACGGGGACACGGATTTCTCGAAGATTTCGAGATGCTACTTTCACCAAAAGTTTCCTAATTTTTTTCTCTACAACCCGAATCGAGCGTTTTTAGAAATTCGAAAAACGAAATTTCAAAAAAATAACTTGGAAAAATGACAATTTTAAGTCTCACAACACCCCATAAATGGGGTATCGTTGGAAAGGTCTCAGCACGTGGATTTAAAATATATATACTTTGTGGGGTCTGGGACCACCCCCTGATTTTATAGAGGCCCATGAACATTTTTGAGTTTTCTTCGGTATTTTGCTATGTTAGCTCTCAATCTGCTCCTGTGTTAACGTCTGCATGCGTGGAAAACCAAAACTCAAAAATGTTCATGGGCCCTTAGATCAGGGGGTGGTTCCAGACCCCACAAAGTATATATATTCTGAATCCACTTTAGATTAGATTTATTGCCGCCTTTGTGTTGCCTTAAGGCCCATAAAGAAAAACTTTACATCGGTAACATGATTCGCTTTTATATAAAAAAATAAAAAAATAAATAATAATAAATCTCGTATCTCGCTTATTTCGTGTGCATTGACTACATAGTTTTAACCTTAACTACTTAAATTTCGAATTTTAACTGTTTAAAGTTGAATCTTAACTACTAAAATTTTGAATTATAACTACGTAAAAAAATTTTTTTTTTAACTTTTAGCTACTTAAAATTTTGAACCTTAACTACTTAAATTTTGAATATCAATTAAATTTATAATATTAACTACATAAATGAAGAGTGTGTTCCCTTTAATTGATCCTTTGAGGGTAGTATCCGCAGCTTGGAGCTCCTTCATCTTGTCCCTTAACGCCTTTTGTTGTTGTCGTTCCTCCTTCGATTGGTCTTCATTGATGTAGATTTTAGCAAAAGGTCCCGCCGGATCTATCCGTAGCTTCTTTTTGTTGGAGAATATTTCCCATTTGTCCCTGGTTCGCATGAGTCGCACGAGGAGTGGTCTGGGCGTGGCGCCTTTGGTTTTCCCTAGACGGAATGCCTCATCGTAGTCGAATACGAAGCCCAACCCGGCCCTTAGGTCCTTGATGATCTGATCCCTTCCCTTGTAGTCTTCTTTTGCCCCTTCATTTACCCCAAACAGTATGATGTTTTTACTGCGATCCTCTCCGGATCCCTTATTTGTAGTTATTCCTTCCCACCAATTCTTCTGCTACTATCGTTCTAAGTCCTTCCGAATCAGGTGATCTAATACGTTTTCTTCCCCCACTCCCATTCCCTCCTCCACCATTGCTCATTGTTGCGTGTTATTATCATACCCCGGAAAAATATTTTTTTATCCTACCCTACTCATGTTGAGCTCAACACGAGTAGGGTAGGATAAATATTTGTCCGGGGTATGGTTATTATAAGTCTCAGAGGAGAGAACAAGTTAGTATTGCGATGATATGAGCTTATTGTGTAGCGAGGAGGAGAGTGAGACAGATTATGTGGATGGAAGAGTAAGAGATTGTGGTGTTCTCTCCTCGGAGTCTCAAGAGCGAATTTCTGAATCCACTTGCTGAGACCCTTCCAACGATACCCCATTTATGGGGTGTTGTGAGACATAAAATTGTCATCCAAAATTTTTCCAAAATTTCATTCAAAAGTTATTTTTTTGAAATTTCGTTTTCGAATTTCAAAAAACGCTCGATTCGGGTTGTAGAGAAAAAAATTAGGAAACTTTTGGTGCAAGTAGCATCTCGATATCTTTATCCATCTTCGAGAAATCCGTGTCCCCGTTTGCAGTTTTTTGCGATTTTCGGCCCCTCCCCCCGGGGAAAGGGGCGGAGTTGAACTGAATTATTGTTACCGTTGCACTCACAAAAATCACCTCTACAAACGGTGCAAATCTTATCAAAATCAAATTTTTTTCTGTCTTTCGAAATTCCGGTTTACATTATTGCTACTCACCAGATATCTCAATATGTATGATTCACTGCTTTATGCAAATGCATGCGACAGTAACTTTAAATTGGTTAAACCAAAAAACTCATGGATGAATGTAGTTGGACAAAACCTATAGCAAACAACTAATACAAGCTCTATCTATATCGACTTCATCACCACCATAACAAGAAGTAACATCATCTGTTTTTGCATATTTAACATATATAAACTATTTATTCGTGTCAATTTCCTGCGTAAGGAGAAATTAACTATAAAGTTGGAGTCTAATTACATATCCTTTTGTGGTAATTAATAAATACATACATACATTATTAGACACTTATTAATTTCCAAATGTGCGTATCACTCTTAAAAATAATCATTTTTGAAAAGAAAAATGCACTAGTAAGTTTACGAAACCCAGAGTAAACTTTAGTCTTTTTCAAGTCCCCGTTTGTCTAGAGTTATGATGGAGGTCTCCCAACGTATGCTCACAGATTTTGAGCAAACTAGTGTCAATCGATCACAAATTTAATTAGTATGGAATTTGCAAATGGAACTATCTGCCAATGTTCAAGTTTCAAGGAAACATTTGCATAAAAAGAGGAGGAAACAAACCCCCAAGGCTGGCAATTTGTTCATTTTCCAAATTTCCTTGCGAATTTTCCTGCTTTAGATGAAAATATCTTTGCCAAACCTACACGATAGTCCCATTTGTAAATTTCATACTAATTATATTTTTGATCGATTAACGCTAGTTTGCTCCAAATCTCTGAGCATACGTTGGGAGACCTCCATAGTTAGTATAGGTTACTTAATATCGAATTCAGAGTGTTATTTTACTATTCCAAAGGGTAACTATATTTTTAAGAGTGTTTTTTTTTGCTAATTTGGTTACGTTTTTGTAGAAAATCGTCATGGACCCCCTTCTCATAATTTTGGCGTGCTACGCCATCCTCCTGTTGTTCTTCGGCTTGTGGAGTTTTAGCTTAATGGCGAGAGATAAAAGGGCCGTAGAAAGTCGTATGTGGCGAATTTCTGAGTGTAAACTCCACACCCTGGAACTTTTCGGAGGATGGTTTGGAAGTCTGATGGCGCAGGTCTGTTACCGTCACAAGAATAAGAAATGTTCGTATCAGATAATTTTTTGGATTATTGTCGCTGCTCACGTGGCTGGAATGGGTGCCGTGTTTTTTGGAAGGGATAAAATCAGGGATTTTTTCGGGAAAAGTGCACAGTGATAAATGGAAACATCTGCTAAAATTACTGATGTTTTCACGCTTCATAACGTATAATAAATGATTTTTCAAAATTGAATAAATTCTAGTTTTTTGTAATAAAGAACTTATTAATGCGACGTTGTTGTACATTTGAAAATCTGCATCTGGAATTTTTAAAGATTTAAGAACACCATTAGGTACACTCACCGGAACAATTATTTGGCAGAGGAAACTGCATGTGTTAAAACGCACATTCCTAGAAGACTTGATGAGATTTTCCGGAAAATTTTTCTGCAATTAGTAGCTAAACTTACTGGTAATGTCATACCATAAAATCATTTTTGAAAAAAAATCCTGAGTGGGGTAAACCAACATTTTCCCACGAGCAGTTAAAATCAAATCCGGAACAATTATTTGGCATTTTCGTGTATCGAACTAAAAAATAGTTATTTCGAGTTGGTAAGCACTTTTTTAGTTTTATATAGTTAGAAAATGTATTTTGCTTCATTTCTACGCAATTCCAATATTTAACAGATAGCTCCAACGAAGCCGAATAGAGCGTCATTTGACCACCTTATCAATGTCATTAAGTATTTTGTCATAAAATATTTTTTTTAATATTTTGGGTCCCAGAAATTTTGGTCTCTGTTGATGGGCGCCATAGCAAATGAACGCCATATATTGATGTTACCTTTTGACATGGGGGGCTTCTTCCTAGTTAGGAAAAATTTTATCGTTCAGTCTCCTTGTGTTTTTCTGATCAGCTGACAAGGGACACTCATGACCTGTCGTTTGAGTCCAGGGTACCCACTATGTTTTTCAGAATCTACTAAGACCCCAGATGAAGGATTCATTCATATTTCCGTGTAAAACTCATATTTGGCGCCATGGCGTGGCGCCAAACTTCAAAATTTGCATTTTCGACCAGTTTCAAACCCCCATAACTTTTGCAGTTTATATCGGATTTTCAAAATTTTATGCTTAAAATGATCACAAAAGTCGAAATTTTTGAGAAAAAAATAAAAATAAAAAATTTCTAATTTTTGAAATATTTTTAGCATTTTTTCGACGAACCCCCGTTTATAAGAAAATTACGAAATTTTGCGAAAAGTTAAAAGTGATAATTTTGGAAAAAATTTCATTGGATACGAAAGTTGAACTCCTTGTCATGATTTTTGCCAAAAATTTTGAAAATCCGTACAGGTTTTCAAAAGTTATGGCGGTTTCAAAAATAAAAACATGCAAATTTGGCGAATTTGGCGCCACGCCATGGCGCCAAATATGAGTTTTACACGGAAATATGAATGAATCCTTCATCTGGGGTCCTAGTAGATTCTGAAAAACATAGTGGGTACCCTGGACTCAAACGACAGGTCGTGAGTGTCCCTTGTGAGATGTCAAGTTGATGTCCATGTTGAGTTTCGACATGTGAAATAGAAACTTTCGGGTTGACCATGATTTTCTTGAAAATGGCCATCGTCTTCGTTGACGAAAATATTGACTTTCGGTCTCGTCCAAGCTTATTTAAATCAACCTGCTGGATTAATAGTATGCAATGGTATACTCCACTATTGTTGAGAGTGAATTTATTTACATATCTTTTTCGCTTTCGTCTTAAAACCATGCGGTTTTTGTAATGAAAAGACTTAATCCCTGGTGACACGTGAGTAAAGGATTAACAAAAAAAACAGTTTTCACTAATCAGTGTTCAAAAAATGGCTCATTCATTGTGTACTTCCGGGCTTAGAAAATCGTTTTTTTTTGCTTTTCTTAACTTCATAAATCCAGGCCACTCCACGAATTTACAGGAAAACCCATGATGGGGTCACATCTCAAACCTACATATGTTTCATCCTAAGACATTAACTGGAAGTGATCTGTCTTCGTGGTGGGGGACGTGCAGAAATTATTTCACACAAAATGCCGAATTTCAATACCTGCCAGACATCTTTACACAGTATCCATATTAATTAAAATCATATTAAATCATATTAAATTAAATCCATATTACTTAAAATACATAATACCAAACCGTATTCATATGTATATGTAAGACTACTAAACCGTTATTAATACGTTGTAGTAATAATCCGGCATTAAAGTTTTACATATGAGTGACAAATTTTCACGGATCAGTATAATTTTAATATCACGTGGTTAGAAACTCTAATATGAAAAGAAATCAATGGCTGCGTGACGACATAAATCAGATTTCTAACCGGACCTACGCTGAACATTTTTGCTTGATACAATTTATGCACGTCCCCTAATATTTTGTTGTTCGCTATGTCCAACAGAACAGAAAAGAACTGAAACGATTACCAGGAAATTATCAATCAATTCGTGGAATATGACGTGACCTGATTTTTAGGAAGTAAACAAGTTTATTAAGTAAATAAACTTAAAATCAACAGATATAATAAACTTGCCGAGTCGGAGTGCATTGCTGAGATGCATGTGTACTCGAGGTGCAGCATTTCCTAAGAAAGTTAAACTGGGCATTTTTGACGTTTCGATATTTTTTGAACGTTAACCTTTTTTGCACCGTTACCAGGTCATTGTACATACGTACGTCTAAAAAACTGACCATTTCTGCGTTTTCCGTCCTAAATCGTGTTTAAAGCGGTGACAACAAAGAACATAGAAAATTCATCAGGGTGACCTATTGACCTACAAGGCCAGTTAACATAATAGTTCGCTCTAACTGTTAGAATTGCATTTCGATAGAAAAATGACACGTCCAAACAGTTAATTTGTTCGAAACTTGTGCCGACAGACAAAGATACGGACGGACAAATCGCTCGCAATAAGTTCCCTTCACTTCGTTCCGCTGGTTCCTGGGTTTTGCTGAGAATTCAGCTAAATAAGGAAGAAAAAAGCCATTGAACTAACCTAATTTTTTTGTTTATTCATTTTAAATGGGTATAAAAGTAAGCTCGGTACGCAGATTTAGTATACATACAATTTTGTCTGGAGCAATTTTAACTTGACATTTAAAAGTTTCCGACGTACGATAAATCGTCTCGAGAAAAGATGAACACTGGTCGAATTTTGATTTTTGTGGCACTCGTTTTGGCCGTTGCGGCAATCGAAGGTAAATAAGTGCATAATTATGGAATCAGAGTACGGTTATGTATCAATTTAAAAGTTATTCATTTAATGACGATCGAAAGGCAAAACTTTTTGGGTGCGTTCCCTAATTGATCACAAAAATTTCAAAGTAGTTTTTTTTACACAGCGTTACAATTTCAGAAATATAAATACATATTTCCTCCTTTATGGGTATATGTGTAATTCCTTTACAATTTTTTTCAAAAATGCTAATTAACATTCTGTAAATATTTAACCGATGTGATTTTATTTTTTTGACTTGAGGAAATTTCACCACAAAAAATCTATAGTAAGGTTAAATTCAAAGGTACAAATTTTTCAAAAATTATTCGCATTTTTGTAATTCTTTGGTTCATAATTTGTAATTCATTTTTTTCGTAAATATTAAATATTTTAAGTTAAAGTTAAGTTAAGTTAAATATATTAGTTAATTAAAATCTGAAATTTGATGCATTAATTTTTCTTTGAAAATTTGCAGTCACTGCCAGACGCAACATCAACTGCCAACGTGACTACGATGGGGAATGCGTGGCCGATAGAAGCGTGGACTGCGAGGGGGGAAGATCCCCAAAACTTTACGATTCCGGATGCACCCCTCCCCAAAGGTGCTGTGCATACTGAGGGTGACGCAACCGAATGCAGCCCCAATTTGACCAATGGAACGGAAGATTTTCCTTTTATATCAGAAATATTTACACTTTGTTATGTAAAATTTCCCTCAAGTTTCTAAACAACATTGTAATATAGGTATTTTCTCTGAATCAAAATTTTCATGTGTTTTACTGAATAAAAATAAAAATGATTGGACTTCTTTCAATTACGAAATTTAAAATTCGTATGATAAAGGCATTACGATATAATTATTGCACAGCCTTAGCCTGGATCTACTCAGGACAGTTGCCCTGCCCTGCACTTCGCCATAAAAAGCAAAAAGGGTAACATGGAATTTATCTATCTATACGTACTTGGAAAACATGCATGAATTTTAATTTTGACGCATAATTCCGACAAGTTTTTTTTAAATTTATGTACAAACAAACTCTCTAAATACACCATGAGGCGAATAATCGGATGCCAAATAGAATTTTCGGGTAGTGTAGATGCATCCATATATACCTGTTCACTTTCATGTGACTGGTTATGATAGAAAATGATAGTGAATGAAAATGAGTTTCCTGTGATTTGAATGAAAATGAGTGAAAGATTCCGTCACTTCAGAGCAGTGACTGTGAATGAAAGGATTTCTTATTTTTTACCGTATGCTTAATACATTGGGCGAACTAAGAAATGAAGTCGGACGACGTGAAATGAAATGAAATGAGTTTGAAAGACAATGACTGAGTGTGAATGAAAATCTTCAGTCGTAAATCGAGATGATTGAACGTCAAACGAAAATAGTTTTTTTTGAGCAGGTATAGATGCATCTAAAGTGTATACATACACGGGTGAGTTACATCTTTATTTAATTTGAAAATACGTAAATACAACAGTGCATTCTTCCCTCAATTAAATTTTGCAAGGTTCATTTTAAGTTATTGTTTAGCAGGTATCGTCGACGACTTCCACGCCATAAGTCCCACCAACGCATCCGAGCAAACCGGACGACTTGCACCGACAGTAACCAAAAGCGTCTCCTTCGCACCTTTTCCAACAGCAAGATCGGATTAAGAGGTTTAATCTGCCGCACTCGGTCCCCCGGCGGATCAGTTTCGATCCATTGTATTGATAGCAGTCCAGGTTAGTCGTGCACTGAAATGATAAATAGAAAGTTAGAGTATTTATATAGTTAGACTTTGTAGAGTTCAAAGTATAGAATTTCTTTAGATAAATTTAGTTATAAAACAGCCGAAATTTTATGCGTTTCACCAACTTTCCAGCAATTGCAATGTTAATTGGGATTTTACTTGAAATTCGTTGGGACAATAGCATCCCGCACTGGTAAGATTACATGATGGAATGTTCCGGTCTACTCCACAGCGAAGAGATGAGGATTCACAACCAGAAAGGACACACTGCAAAGAATTTTAAATATTTTAGAATTTGCCTAACAAGTAAACAAAACAATATAAAGACTTACATCCGTAGATAAGTCTATGGTAAAAGAGTTTACCATTGTCCACATGAATGCGCCAACAGCTAACAAGCCGACATGGAACCAACGCCTCATAGATAACGTGAAAAAGTACATAAAAGTTATTATTAAATAAGGTTAACATTGGGCAAGTTTTAAAGCAAAATTTGAAAAGGAAAGTTCCCATGTAAAAAATTAATTAAAGTTCTCAGCTTTTAATTATGCTCAATTTTGGAGTTGTTTTGCAAAAAAAGTTTACATAGACATGTACACTATTTTGCAAAATAACAAATACATTTGCCTATAAACGTTCTAACTTTATGGACTTTGTAGATTAAAAAAAATACGTAGATATTATTTACTTACATCGTAACAATTGCTGGTGAGACAATTTTCTATGAGTCAGGAGCAATTTGGAGATGTATTCTGGCTTTGTTAGATACGAACTGAGTAAATAATTAGGTTGTCATAGAGTATTTATAGAGTAACCCTTGACCTTTCCATACACAAAATTTATTTATCACCAGGTCATGGTTTGTTTTGCAATTAATTTTAGTCCACAGCCTGAGCATTCTGCTACTCGGAGTCGGATCCTGACCAAGGATTACTTCTACAAGTACTTAAGATATCAAGAAAATAAATATTAACGTGGTAGTAATCTCCGTGCATGCGATGTTTATAAATTTACTGTTTGATTCTGGATTTAGAAGAGATACATAAATATAAAAATCTCGTGTTATTTATATATGTACATATCGTCCCATACTCCATTAAGCAGAGTTCTGGGAAATTGCTAATCCATGAACTTTGATCCCAATAATTATTACGTTTCATTTGCCTCCACACTCGAAGATATCAAACCACGAATTCGTCCAAATAAGCAGATAAATTTGTCTAGTTAATGTTGACAGGGTTCGTGTTTAATCAATGACATTCTGGCATTCATCTACATACATATGTATAATTGATTAAGAATATATTTATTACGAGACTGGATATTTATGATTGATATAAATCCTCAGAGCACATTCTTCTATATGTGTATCATTCATCACCGGCGTGACATGTTCTCTTTGCTTAGAGCAATCCACTAACTCCTACAACATGAGGACACGAATTACGTATGTATTTATATTATTTTATGAAAAGGATCCAAGCAAAACATACATATCCAACAAATAAATTACATAAATATACATATATCTACTGAAGTTATTTGTAGTGAATTTGATTGATTCTGTATAATTAATTCGGAGTAAACTCTTCATGCGTGTGTAAGCTTTTATTATGTTTTGGAAATTGATAAAACAGATTTAGATAACGTGGATAAGTGGATCACTTGTGCTTTTGTACTGTAAATTGTCATGAAATTATTTTAAAGACGTGAATTTTTGATAGGATATTCTAAATATATCTAGAAACCTATTTCCAAAGAACAATTCAATGTGCTATCCTATCGTAACAAAATTTTTAATGTTGTAGATATATAAGATAACTGCCTTTGTACTACATATTCTACGCTGCCAAGCCGTAAAGATCGATAATTTTCTGTAAACAGAAAATCGGAAATCACATATTGAGAGTGAACAAACCGAATGCATCACGAATTTTCCCAATGGAACGGAACATTATCCTTTTAAATCAGAAATATTTACTCTTGTTTATGCAAAATTTCCTTGAAGTTTCTAAACAAAATTGTAATAAGGTATGTATTTTCTCTTAAAAATTTTGCCAGATGTTTTACTGAAATAAAAAAAATACTGATTGGATTTCTTTCAATAATTGGAAATAAAACTGATTACAGATATGTACATATTCTCGTGTTTTTTCAAAAACATTCATAAATATATAAATTTGGTTCAAATTGCATGAATTATTAAGAGTCGTAGGACTGTAAAAATGAATATTTAAAAATTTATTCAATTTTATGTCTATAAATACACTTCTCGATTATGAATTAAGAAAATGCATGACTTTATTCATATCTGTAACGCGACATTGGTTAGTTAGTGGTACCAAATATTTACAAACCAATAGAAACATATGAACCATATTTATTAAGGAATGTTGCATTTATTCTTTATAAATTGTGTCCAAAATTTTACGTTTGAAACTTAAAATGTTGCATACAATTGTTTCCTTATCAATGTAATGAATTTACTTCAGTTTGTTATTACAGTAAAGAAACAGAAATATTAGAAATCATGAAAAATTTGAAAAATCCGTGCTGTAAAAATTTCATGAATGAAGTCGAAGTGAGAATAGCTAAATTTCGTAAATCACTACAATAGTTGTCAGATTAGAAGATTCTGTCACACTCAAAATAAGGTAGTAATGAATCATTACCATGCGGAATCACTATGTGGCTCTACCACTTCAGTTACGATTTGTCGTAGAAATGGTAATAATAAGTTCAGGGAAATTCAAATTTAATACATAATGGTATTCACTTTCTTAACATTTGGTAATGAATTTGAATTTCCCTGAACTTATTATTACCATTTCCACGACAAATCGTAGCCGACGTGGTAGAGCCACATAGTCATTCCGCATGGTAATGATTCATTACTACCTTATTTTGAGTGCACAGTTTTTAGACAATAATAGTTCAGAAACTCAAAAAATAAATTTAAATTTGTTTGACGAAGATATTGTATTTCTGTATGTATGTATGCATTATTGTGATATTAAATTTCTTTAATTATATCATTTTCGAAAAGTAGGGACAAGTTTGTGCATTAATTTTCTGTAAATTATTTTCGGAAAATGTGTCCACATTTTTATGAAAATTTCAATACGTTCCGGTAACACGTGGCCTACACGTGTAAAATATTTGGTTTCTTTTAATCTGTTCAGACAGCGTGTGCATGCTTCATATTTACATTTATTTGCTTGCATAAATGTAAGTACATACTTCTTTTTGGGATTCATGGTAATAAAAACGTTTCGTCCGGTTGATGGGGTAAATTCACGGTAAAAAGGTAAATTTAACCCTTTTCTATTTACAACTTTTCTAACTTACTCCAGCCCAAGTGCATTCCAAGAAGCTACTACCTGGAGAGAAATGCTTGCCCAAGTTTTTGTAGTGAACAAGAAAAGAATTTGGATATTCAAATGCATATTTATAAATACATCCGGTATTAAATTAATACCAAGCGGTATTCATGTATGATGCTAGCAAAGTGGTATTGATAAGTAATTCCGTGTAGTAATAGCTCCGTATTAAAGTTTTGCCAGATCGGTAGAAAATTTTTAGGGCCCGGTATAAATTTAATACCGAGCGGTGGCAACTTTAATACAGAGAAATCAATACCTGCGCGACTATATCGGATTTCTAACAACGTATGTATGCTATAATCATGCTAATAATTTAATGCATAATTAATGCAATATTGAAAACTAAATAATTGCATAATATACGTATGTACATATGTCCTACATGTGTAATGCACCTTGCATACTACATGCATACATATGAACATTCATATGCAACTTCTAAATCATACAATCTGTATGTTGCATACTTGATTGTACTCGTGTAGCGTAAAAATTTCATCGGCATTTCTGAATATATTTGGACAAACTTTCTGCAGAAATTTGTGCAAATTTTCTGCAGAAAAACTGCATTCAGAAAATTACGCATGCATAAACAACCCAAAATTATGTAATTTTGTATGCACATCCAGTCCTGGAGAGTAAACCTTGCCGAAATTTTGTGGAAGAATATAATCATGCAACTTTTTCTTGCAGATGCAAATATATGACTGTGAATTGCACTTACATATGTATGCAAATATACATATTTATATTACATATATGAGAGCATATGTCCAATAATATTCACTCACTGCTGAATATTTCTTGGGCCAAATGTACATATGTATCTAGATTATGAAAACATGGACATATTTATGTATGTATTTATTTATACACTCTAAATAAATTTGATTAAAATTTACTCAATTTTGAGTAAAATTGCCACCAAAGCAACTATTGAGTAAAATTTACCCTGAGAAAGGTAAAATTTACTCAAAGTTGAACGATTTTTGCTCAACCTTGAGTAAATTTTACCTTTGTCAGGATAAATTTTCCTCAATAGTTGCTTTGGTGGCAATTTTATTCAACTTTATTTACAGTGTAGTATCAATGCATAGCTTCATTTAATATGAAAATATATTACACATAGTTTTGTACATTATGTATGTATGTACATATGCCTCCTCATCCCTTGTGTATTTATGGATTGAATCAATACTATAGATGAACAAAGAATGCCTCGCCACAGCGCAGATTCTACTGTCATATAACATTCTAACCTGAACAAATATGTAGTTGCATCATATTGTGATAAAGGGCCGTGCAAAATATATGTAATGACAAAAATTTAGGACAAAGAATGTATGCATTGACACTTCGTGAAATTTTTCATGTCATAATTAGCCTAAATTGTGGACAGATAAAAAAGGATAAATTGATGACATTCCAGCCAAACGGCCCTTTTGCACCCGGCTCCACGGAGAATGTGAAGCCTTTCGACGGTTAAACATTTTCCAGTCAGGTCCGCCATTCAGCTCCACTACCAAAGTTAAATATATCCCGACATATTTCTGAGAAGAAAGGTGTCCCTTCTCTTTTTTTGGCGTGGTCCTTCTCGAAAGGACCCAAACCACGCCGTCCTCCATTTATAATGCGATGCACATCGGTTTCTTTCCTCATTACGATTCCAACCTCTCTCCAGTGAAGAACTTTACTGGAGAGTGGGGTGGAAAGTTGGGCGTCATTTTGTGTCTTTGGAAATTTGGAGAGGAAATGGAAAGATAAGGAGTTACTTTATATGGTGAGTAATTAGTTTGGTAATTTATTTCATACTGATTTTGTGTTGGATTAGTGAAAAGTAGTTTTTAATTAGTATACTTTACTGTACTCGAATTAACAATTTAATTGGGTTTCAATTTATCAATTAGCCTTTAATTTGTTTAGTTATCTGCTAAATTATACTTTAAATGCGTTCAAACTGTAAAAAATCGCAATTTCAGTGAGAAAAACAATTCATAAATTCTCCTTTAAATAAGTATGGATTAAAATCAGTTACATTTCCAATAAATAAAGATTAATTACAATTCCCTTCATGTAAAAAGATCAATTCGGTTTCGAAATTTGGTTTCGAATTATTTTTTGTATGAATTTAAATCCTAAAATTATTATTTTTACATTTCAGAAAATCTACTATGCCCCAATTACGTAGGTGCGTCATCTACATCCACCTAAATTCTGGAACCTTCTCTGTATAAAATGTGCTGTAAAACTTTACGACTTTATTTCCTCGAGGTGAGAAGATTTGAATTAATCAAATTTAAACATACAAATTTCCTACAATTTCAATTTCTGTCTAATTAGAAATCTATTTAGTTTTGAAATTAGGCTTGAAAAGAAATTTGTTACGCTTTTAAATCCTAAAATCATTATATTTTTGCATTGCAGAAAATTCACCATCTTCTAACTACATAATTGCGTCATCTACAACCTCCTAAATTCTGGGTCCTCCCGTGTGCCAAATTTACTACACAACTTCGCAACGATTTTATATCTGAGAGGTAAGAAAATTTTGGCAATTTTTTTATTACTTGTTTAAGAACTTGAATTACAAAAAGCATTCATTATAAACAGGCAGTTGGCTTAAGTATTTCTGTTTTTAATACAAAATTACAATTATAATTCTATTTTAATTATTATCTGGTCTTAAATATTATGAGATATGATAGCTTTATGAGCATTCAATAGTAAAAAATTCGCAAGTTTGCCAAAATTTAACGCATAAGTTTTATAAAATTAAAAAAAATAGAATTTTATTCGCCAAGCATTACAGATTATTGTCTGTTTTAACAGTGATAAATACTAAATTTACATGTTTTCCATGTATGCATGAAATGCTAATGACTTTTTTTTATACGACAGATTCCATGGAACCCTCAAATCCATCAGGCCCCCTCTCCCCTCGTGGAAATTCTGTAATCAGCGGACTCCAAATTATGTGACACGTCTCATCATTTCAAACGACGCCCAAGGTTGTGGACCACCCTGCACTCAAGACTTCACTCCATAATTACGTATGTACATATCTTCACCGTAATCAAGTTCCTGATGCGACAAGTAATATCTTATCTTCTAAATATTTGGGGGTACGTTATCCAGTTCAAAAGTGGTAATATGTAGGTATTTCTTTACCCTAAAAAATGGCACGAAACTGCTCTAAAATTTCGGGTATCCTAATTTTTCTCAAGTTCTATACATCCTTTTAGTTAAATTATGTCTCAAGATAGTCAAAATTCGTCCGTAATTTCTGTAAACTTGTTAGGTTTTAATTTTTGAACTATTTTTGCTAATTCTCTAACATGTTACATAAGTACATGTTAATGCTTAGGAAAAACACAGATCCTTCAAAATTTTTATCGCGATCTGAATCAAACAATGTTTGCATCTTAGGCGAGGAATGATAGCAAATCAATTAATTTATGAAATTGCCTATACTTAACGAAGAATTTGTAGAATTACAAATCAGTGCATTTTGTCTTTAAAAAAAACGAAACATAATTCAAGGAACGGAGCATAACGCGTAAACTTTCCAGTTGAAAAAATAATTTTACTCTCCATATAAACACTGTAACGTATTCACGTGAAACTTTGTAATCCGTTCACGTGAATTAATATCCATACTCGAAAAATATTACTAGGGCAGGTTTAGCATTTGATAATCTTGAAACATTAGAAAAATACGTGTAGGCCAATTTATTCGACAGAAATGTACTTTGTTGAATAAGCTCAAATTTAATATTATTTACAAGCAGTTTTATATAAATGCATCATTAAGTCCGGTTAAGTACAGGTCAGTCATTCATTTCGACCGATTGTCTAAACTTCGAGGGAACTTTAACGTGATACAGTAATTCATTGTCAGTTTTGTTGTATTAAGACAAATGTGTGCCCAAAGATAGATACAAAATCCATAAAATATGAATTATAGACCGAAAAATTTTCAGAAAATTTATGAAAAATTACAACATATAAACTTGATCTTATAACATTTCACATATAAATTACGCTATTTTGCCTCGTTTCTTATAGTTTCAAACCAATCAATTATTATCCTTACTCTGAAAGAAATATCTTATTTCCATTATACAAAATATGATTACAAAAATGTCAGAAATGTTGAAATTTGTACTTCAGCGTTCTATCCACACTTAAAAATGCAGCCCAGTAAAAAATAATTATGATAGGTGGTAGGTCTAAATTCATAAGCAAGTTCAATGAACCGGTCCTTACCCCCGAGGAAATTGTATGTGGGGAACAGGGGAATTTTTAATTTTTAATTTATTCAAAAATTTGAAACCTGTAATATACGGGAACAAATTTTATTCGTAATACTGACATCTTTTGATCGATACGTGTATAGCGTACTATACGACGATTCAAAACCGCTCGGCAAATACAGTACATTTGTCACGTAATAAGTTTGGAAATATAAATTAAATTTTTTCAGAACCTTAAAATATGGAGATTAGCATAATGAATAGGTTAAAGTCGTGATAAGATTCAATACACAACCTCTTTAACTGTAGCCTTCAGGTATACACCCATATTTTGTATATTCTAATAGACTTGTACTCATTGAAAAGTATAGTGCACTCATTTATTTATCGAGGTATAGATAAATAAATACGCTAAAAACATAACACGACAAGGAGCGGATATCCCAAATTAGATTATCATAATGAACAGGTGCCATATCATGATAAGATTCAATACATAACCCTTTAACTGTTTGGGACAGAATAGAACCTACATTATTACCCTAATTATGTAGAAATTTCATGTTTTATACAATCCAACATATCTGATTGAAGAAATACCTACTTTATTTATCGAGGTATGGATAAATAAACTCACAAAATACATAACGCGATAATAAGCGGATATCTCAAATTAGATTAGTACAAGATTATCATAATGAACAGGTGCCATGTCATGATAAGATTCAATACATAACCCAATAACTGTTTCAAACAGAATGAAACCTACATAATTACTCCAACTATGTAGAAATTTCACGTTTTATTTAATCCAACTGACTTGAGTACTACTTGTTGGACGAAGTTTGGCACTTGTTTATCGAGGTATGGATAAATAAATCCACAAAATACATAATACAATAAGAAGCGGATATCCCAAATTAGATTAGTACAAGAATCAAATAATGAATGAACAGGTTTAATGTCATAATAAGATTCAATACATAACCCTTTAACTGTTTGGGACAGAATTGAATCAACATAATTACCCAAATTATGTAGAAATTTCACGTTTTATCCAATCCAACATACTCGAGTACTAAATACTTGTTGGAGAAATTTTTACACTTATTTATCGCGGTATGGATAAATAAATCCACCAAATATATAAATACGTTAAGAAGCAGATATCTCCAAATCAAATTAGATTAGCATAATGAACAGGTGCTATGTCATGATAAGATTTAAAACACAATCTCTCTAGCTGAGCTTTCTCTTGCAAACTTATCCAATTACTTATTCATGTAATTCTTAAGTTAAAAAAATTCTATATGTTGTATTTCTTATGATAGACTCAAATAATTTTTAATCAATTTTTTTGTAAAAAAATATTTAAATTAAATTATCGTGGTACGGATAAATCAATTCACAAATTATAAAACACAATACGAAGCAGACAAATCAAATTGGATGTTTCAAATAACTGTAAATAGGAGCCACGTGCTTGTACATAACTGATCCTGAGAAGTCGCTTACTTTTTTGTTTATCTTATATTATCCTGGATCGTAAATTTTGAAACCAGATTCAATCGCAACTATATAAATTACTTACTTACTCTCCCATTTATGTAAAATGGGACTGTATTTTTAGAATTATGAAACTACATAATATAATTTTTAAGATTGTTAGGTTGCCTATTTCTTGCAACGTCAGTACAATGGTTCACGATGTAAAAATTTTTATATCAAATACATTGAGCTTAGTGTTTGATAGTCGCGCGGGGTGAAAACAATTAGTGTGAAAAACTGCACACTAAATAATATTTGAAGAAAATTACTCTAACTTTCAACTGTTTTCATTAAAACTTCTCACGTTTCTCTATACCCTTCCGCCACTTTGTTACATACGTTGTTTGCGTATTTCACTCCCTGCAGGTTTTTTATACTCATATTGGCCCTGGTAATCAGCCAATTGTGTAAATTAAATGACATATGTATTTAGCAGACATGAAACATTGACGAAACGTATTTCTGCATAGGTTTGCACTCAATGTACTAAAACTGCGTTAAGTTTTCGATTCAGTCTCTCTGATCAATTTATTTTCAATTCCGAAGTAAACATTTTGGTATTGGTAATTTACAAAATGTGTAAATTTAATGCCAAACACACATTCGAAAGGAGACATTGATTTAAAGCGATAGGTTTACAATTAATATACTAAAACTGCGTTAAGTTTTCGATTCAGCCTCTCCGATTAGATTTTCATTAAATAAACAAACTTCACGCACATATTGGTGTTGGTAATCTGCCAAATGTGTTAGTCAAAACACAGAAACATATTCTTTCAGAAATGAAACATTTTATCAAACGAACAGGTTTGAAATCCATATACTAAAACTGCGTTAAGTTTTCGATTCAGCCGCTATGCTTATTATCATTTTATCAAAAACTTCTTATGCATAAATTGGTATTGGTAATCTGCCAATTGTGAAAATTAAATGGAAAAATCAGAAATGAAACATTTTATCAAACGGATAGGTTTGAAATCCAGATACTAAAACTGCGTTAAGTTTTCGATTCAGTCGCTACGAATAGTTTGTTTTCTTTCCATAAACAAACTTAAAGATTTTTAAGGGACATATTGGTACTTGTAATCTGCCAATTGTGTTAATTTAATGAAAAATACCTACATACCTATAAGAAATTAAATCACATTGATCCGATGCATACATAGGTTTGCAATGCATGTACTAAAACTGCGTTAAGTTTTCGATTCAGTCTTCTTCGTTGAGATTGTACACTGTTACAACTTGATAATCTGACTTACATACTTTTCATTTAAGTGAAAGTAAGAATAAATAATATACATACATACATAAACCTCTTGCAACACGAAGGTATTGTGCGCAATGAGAACAATTTATTACGTAAATTATACTTTTGCAGATATAAAAATACACGAAAAAACGTTTTTACTTCATTTTGCATTTATGAAAAACAAAATTTAGGATTCATAAGATCTTTCTAACACGTCAGATATGTATCACGGTTTTCTCTCTGGCAGATGATTCTGCATAAAAATATATACACGTGGTTAATTTATGCATAAATACTTATTCCTAAATACGTAATCATTAATTTTTCAATGTAGTAAATAACCTAATTTCATATTTTGAAGCGAGATCTGTTAAGCTTGGTAGACAATTTCTTGCATATTTATTGTGCACGACAAATGTAAACTGAAAAGCATTAATTGGTTGACAGCTTTGAAAAATAATTAGCTAGTGGTTTCTGTAATTTCGTCCTAAATTTAAAATGTAATTAAATTGACCTCATACTTAACTTGAAACCGGAGCTGTCAAGTAACAAAAGTCCACAGTTGTGATCTATATGGTTTGCAGAGGTTTGATAAATATTTCCCAGAATGGTTTAAACATTTTTTCTGATTTTAATAAGGTAATGAATTACTTTTCAAATGATTGATTATTGTAAAATTTTTTAACAACATCGGGCCGAAGTATGGTAAAGAATTTTTTGTAAGGCATTTTTTAATGGGGAGTGAACTGTGCTGATTTTTAAAAAACTGTGCTGCAAAAAAATGTATGAATTTATATGTAACCGTGTTAATTTATAGTCTTTGTTTAATACGATAAGAATAAAAATTGTTATATAAATTAGTCAATTATAAACTTATATTTCGAACAATACTTTGTCGATAAATACTTATGTGAAATAAAGGAATAGTGTTACATTGTATCGAATAAATTGTACCGTCATTTATTTGCATAACCACGAAAGCTTCAGAATTTTAATTATTTCACCGTAAATATTGGGTCATTTGCAGATTCAAATATTTAAAGTAAATTCACAATACAGTCTAAATAAAAAGATGGAAAAATGACTCATGGATAAGTAAAAAAAGAGAATGACACAACCTGAGGGTCAAATTTATCCAACGTTGTACAAAATTTGTCCAAGTTGTATGTAGATAAATTTTGCACATTGTTGGATAAATTTTACCTTTCGGTTGTGTCATTCTCTCTTTTTTTACTTTTGCATGAGTAAATTTTCTTTATTTTTATTTAGATTGTGCATACAGTCATTATACACACACAAAATATTTTACAATTTGGTTGGATTATTTGAGTTTTACTGAAACGCATGATCTGGAATACTTATATACATATATAGGTTAGCAGCCAAAAAGCCAAAATACGTCCCTTGCAGAGAAACATGACTAATTTTATATTTTTTGTCGTTCAAATTTGTTTGCAAAACTTATTTTAATCTATAAATTGCGACAAAACATTTAAATGTTTACTCAAATTTGAGTAAAGCTAGTTAATATCTGATTGATTAGGATTTCCATACATATTTTCTCTGCATCATTTTCAGGCAAATTGATTCTCAATAACGGTAAATGCATACATTTTTTACAATTTCGCATTTTTCGACTTTTTGCACCAATGAATTTATTCATATTTGCATGGATGTATTTTTCCATGTTTGTACGCATAGATTTTTGCACTTTTATATCTACGAATTTCTGCATTTTTCATGCGTAGATTTCTGTATTCTGAATGCACACATCTTTTCGTTTTTGCATGCATGAATTTTTGCATTTTTACACATCATTTCATTACCTTTGCATTGAGTAATGCCTGATGATTTTGAGGTGCATTTCCCTAAAGAAAGCTGGTGTGCAGGGTTGCATGAAAAGCTACGCTAAAACTGGTGAGCCTCAAACCTTCTCACTTTCCGATGTTGATGCCATCGAAGATTTAGAGTGTATTAAACCTATTTGTGGGTGGTAGTTTGTGAAGCACTCCTCGAGAAATGAGTACGGCAACAGTCATTCTCTGAAGCCTTTCATTGGATCCGACCACGCATCACATGGCTCCACAAAGTTACGCGTATCAGTTTGGAACCGGTCTTTTGTGGAATATATGCATACAGTATGTGTCAGAAGTATATGCACTTTAAGAAATCTATGATATTATGAGTTTATGATAACGAGAACGAGAGCAATAGTCAGACCAAACATATGCACTGCTCAGCTTTCGTATGCATAGATTTAATCCATATACATAGAACGCTGGATCCTTAAAAGTTACATAGGATTACGATTTTAGGTGCAACAGATTTTCATTATTTAAATGCAAATTTCAAAAATGACATAAATTTTATGAGTTTTGAGATTCGTACATGAAACTTTTGATACTTAATGTATGTAAAGTTAATTTAGGTACCACCAAACGATTTGACAAAATAATGCTAATTCATTTGTCATGTTTCCGTAATAAATTTCCTCAGAAATAAATTCGTGAACCGTTCTCAGACCACGCATGGCTTTAAAGTATTAATAGTTAATTGCTCGGGCAAATTTGACCGTGCAGATTAATTCGTAATTTGTAGGTCCATATGCGCATAAATTTTAGATTAATTAACTCAAAAGTGTTGTGATAACATTCATATATCGCCGTTAACATTTTGAAGTGCCTGAAACAACAAATAAAAACTTGCCACACAGCCCACAAACTCCTGAGCCACACTGTATCATTCATAAAAGCCTGGGTCTGCCTTCACACACGTATCTTTCCGCTACCCATGTGATTCGCAATTCCTTCAATTTAAAAATTTGACTAAACCTCATGCGCCTTTTTTTTACTTAACACCGACCGGCTATTTTCTATTTTTTCGCAAAACCATAGTATTTGCAAACTTATGACCATTTTCTAGTCAAACATTGGTCGCAAACAAGTCGAACTGAATAACAAGCAAACTAATTATAAGAAATGTTGAGGTCCATTTCTGTCGCACGAAATCTTCGTAATCTTAGCTTATTACATCATAATTTACGAAATGTCGAAATTAATCGTGCCACAGTGGTCAATTATTCCGGGATTCGTTGTCATCCAAGCGTGGAGAGAAACGATGTGTCATTATCTTTCAGCCGAGCAATTCATTTCACAACGACGAGGTAAATTAAATAAAAATGCAAATTGAGTTATAATAAACTGATTAAAAGTTAAACATTTCGAATGAAAATTATAGGCACTTTCTACTTAAAAAAAGTATTGTGGGTATTCATGTCACTTAAAAACGTAGCTTCCCAACACATTTTCGCAACTTTACGATGTTTGCTAAATCGTTCTTGTAAGCGATCTATTGTTATTAAAATATATCCAGTGAAAATCAAAAACAGCAATGCAAATTCAATCTTAATTTGAGAAAAATAGTTTGCGGCGACAACTCATGACTTTTGTGTCGCATATATTGAACAAAAATAAAGATTCTGATTGGTTTATCGCTTCTAAACTTTTCGCAAGAATGGAAAATGTGCGAATTAACAGATAAATAGATATGTTGCGAAGTTTGCGCTTTTAGGAAATTGACGTGAAGACCCACATTAACAACGGCATAAAACAGGATCATTTTATTGAACGATATGTAAAATATTCTTCAGGTTTTATGATTCCCATGAAGACATTGACAAGTCCCTACTCCGACTAGATCAAGAGATTCGAAGAACGGGGAGAGTCGCTCGGCAAGAAATTGACGAGCTCCTTCAAGATATTCGTGACACGAGTATGCACAAAATATGACATAATTTGTCCTATGTATATATTTAATTAGAAAATATTTACATTTGCTAAATATTTGTGTCCAATTTACCACAGAGAAAGCCACCAGCAACCAGAGTCTGATGATGATTCGATGTTGTGGTGAACTTGTTCCGTCCGAGACGGCAGAAAATAGGACAAAACTTGTGAATGAGGTTTGGAAGACGATGCAGAATTTGAGTGAGTTCATTAAATTATTAATTTAACAAGAAATATTGCATGCAAGCGAGAGAAATTCTAAAGTCTTAGGAGGTAGGGTACAGAGAACATGTCCTGTTTGTGTGTACCTATATGCGTACAACTTTTTTTAAGTATGCATTGCACACTGTCGTAAATGTGTTAAAAATGGGAAAATTACAAAATTTTCGGACTCGATAAAGAACTAAGAATTACAAACGCAATGCTCGAAAAGCGAATTATTTAAATAGGCTGACTCATTCTGTAGATATCCTACTTACGGACGGACAAAACGATCGTAATTATGTAATTATCTGACGCTATTAACACCGGTTTTTGCCTAGTTTTCGCATTGCAGCTCGGTCGTCGCAAAGTTTTGAGGATATGTAGGCTTTGTGTAATGTAACGAGAAGGTTAGGGTTTGACGAGTTTGACTTGAATACCCCCACCGATCCTGTTTAAATGCAATCATTTGAACATAAACACGTTCATGATTAGGGGAAAGTTGGCCGAGAAAGTATTTAAATGTCAGTGAAAAATCACCCCCCCCCCTCATTTTCTTATCTTTTTAATGTATGTACAGATGTCCCCTTCGACATCAGCCATTACAACGCTTTGCTTCGAGTGTATCTCGAAAACGAGGAAAAGTTCAACCCGACTGAATTCCTGCAAGAATTGAGTTCCAAGGGTCTCGAGCCGAACAGGGTCACGTATCAACGCCTCATTGCCCGCTACTGTCAAGAGGGGGACATCGAGGGGGCGACCACGATCCTCCAACACATGAAGGATAAACAACTCCCCATCAATGAACACGCGTTTAACTCGCTCGTCGAAGGTCATGCTAAAGCTGGGTATGTGGTTTGAAATGTTTTTAGCAATTTTCTTTATCCGTATGTACGTTTCTAATCACCTTTAAATTGCACCTCATATGGTAAATTTGCGAAGTTACAAAAATTTGTGACTTGAGCAAATTCGTAAATTTACTGATATATAAGAACACTTTTTTCATGTTGTTTTAATGGATTTGTACAGTTCTCTTTTTGGCAGCATGGAGAATGAGTTTTGAAAATAATTTTGTGAATTAAAAACATGCAGATCTGCTTAATTTTTGAAAAAATATCATAGTTTTAAAGTATTTAAAATGTGTGAGAAATCTCCCAAAATTAGCAATACTTCGGAAATTATTTGGTACGCTAAATTTGCGAAAGACGCGTAGGTTCAAGGTTGGCGCATGTATAAAGAGTGAGGTCTTATACTCACATATGTACGTACATATGTAAACTTGTCACAGAGATTTTGTAAAATTATTATCTAAAATTTTTCAGGTTTTCACATTTCAGAACTTCAGGAAGCTTTAAAATAAATTAGTGCTGTGTAAATAATTTGCGAATTTCTGTTTTAAGAATTAAATTTTTTAATTGAGAATGTCGTGCTTAGAACCTAAAAATAATTTTACTTTTTAATTTTGAAATCTCGCAATATGTAGACAAATTCGTGCATTAAGGAATAACTGCAAAAATTTAAATTCCTTAAATTCGGACCTCCTGTCGCAATCTTATTTTCGCCCAAATTTGCGATCTTTATGCATATATTAAATTATGTCTGAACTGTCAAAAATAAGTCGGTATTAATTATGTCGATTAGTGACATGGAAAGCGCGGAGGGAATGATTCCAGTCATGCGACAAGCCGGTTTAGAACCAAACGACGATACTTTTGTCACCCTGATGTGCGGCTATGCAAGAAAGGGAGACATGGACAATGTGAACAGAATTGTGCGGGTGAGTACCTTGATGATACAAATCTTTCTGCATAATAGTCTATGTAAACTCTTAAAAATAATATTGCCCTTTTGAAATGTAAATGCACTCTGTCCTTCCATATTAATTAAACTGCAGTAAAAATCAAGAGTTAAGCTAATGGGATTAAGGATAAAGTTTTCTCTGGATTTAGTGCAGTTTGCGGTATTTAAAATTCAGAGTGCATTTATTATTTAAAAGGGTAAAATTATTTTTAAGAGTGTACATGTTAATATTTTTCACAAAATTGTGAATATGCATGCAATACATAATATATGTAAATATGGCAATCGTTTACAGGAATGCGGAGAAGGTGACGTCATTCTGATCGACAAAGATTTCATGAGCGTGATTTACACCTTGGTTGCCAATGGCCACGAACATTTGGTAGACTCGGTCATTCCACTGCTCACAAAACGTACGGGATTCAACCAGGATGCGACCAACTTGGTGTTAAGGTTGGTCAGTATTGGAAAGTTGGACATCGCTTACAGGCAAGTATTAATACTTTTCTTTCACTTTTTTCTGCTGGTAGTTTGCTACACACTTAAAAATCCAGTAATAAAATAGTACCAAGTGGTATTCATTAACCAGTGACTGTACCAAAGCGAAATGCCCAGTAGTATCAATCTATTTATGTAATAGGTTGATGTGAAAATTTACCATATTATTAGTAAAATTTGTACGGTCCAGTACAATTTTATTATGAATCGGTAATAACATTATTACCTGCGTAACTATGACAGATTTGTTAATACGATTGATTAATATTCAGGCCACCTCATGAGTAAATACATAATTATTACACTATTTATATAAATCGTTACTATAAACACCCTTAGAAATCTGACATGCATATTTACATATTTAGTGACAGAGATATTGGTTTCCTAAATGGTTAAACTTTTCCCAAATATGTTAAATTTACTCATTGCGGTGTTCATATCATGTTTTCTTAACGATATAAGCAAAAATGTCGCTGGCATTATTGTAGTACTCGGTTTCTAAAAGTGTATTACTTCATATTAATGTCATAATTTTTCCAGGATGCTGAAGGAAATGTCGAAAGTAGTTTGGAACGAGGAAGTCCAACCTTCCGGAAACTTTTTTCTGCAACAACTCGTCAGAACTTCGGTAGGCCTATATTTATTGACGATTCTATTACAATACTGATTAACACTCGAATTTAAAATTACGGTGATTTTAGCCATCTGAAGAAATCGTCAAGTTTTCCAAACTTATGATGGAGGAAGGAGTGCATAGCCACGCGCTATCCAAGGCGTGTGATATTGCCCTTCAAGCCAAGGAATTCGATAAAGCGTTTGACCTCTTGGAAGCCTACAAGGAGTCTGGAGCGCCAATCCGACAGCACTTTTTCTGGCCTGTCTTTGCAGGGAGCAAATCCGAGAAAAGTAAGTTTGCGTACAGTATCTCATAAAACCGGTGGTGGCGGAAGCAGGTGGACAGGGGACATTGTCCCCCCAGAAATGTATGAAAATCCTACCATGCCCATGTTAAGAAGCCCCTCCTCTTTCTATCTCACAATGCTAATATGTATCCCCATATGTCCCCCCAACTTCCGCCCCCACTGCATAAAACTTTTCGTGCAATACTAACTCCCGTTTATCCAGTGGAATTGGAAGGTTAAAATTTGGCACAGATAATTGAGACCTGTTGAGGTTAAGCTATCATGTGGCTCGTATCACGTCAAACTCGGAAAATTGTGTGTTTTAACCTTTGCGACCTGTTTCCAAATTCGAATCGTGGCAAAATTGTATGTTAAATTTTGGATTATCATTTCGTCATTCTAGGGAAATAAACGGGGTTAAAATTGCACCTGCAATTCTCTAACTTACTGTACATTTATTGTGGAATATGTACAATACAAAATTTCACTGTCGACACCCCTATTCAATTTAGTTCAGTGATTGCGAAAAAAGAGATTAGTTGTGATTAAAACGCCACAAGTGTCGCAATATGTGGATCACATTTATAATAATAGAATTCTTTAGATTATTGGCCTGAGATAAATATCAGTATTGAGATAAAGTAATGGAGTAATTTCCCTCTCTTCATCTGTCGCATGACGAGCTAAGAAATTAGATATTTTAATGAATTAAGTATGAAGTGGATATGAATGATATAAAACAAATTAAGATCAATTGAGGGTCTCAATCAATTTTTAATGAGGAAGATATTTGTGACCATGTAACATAATTCGTTTTTAAATGTTATGCTTTTAATTGCAGATGTGTATAACGGGTTGAAAAGCATGAAATATCTTGAAGTTCCACCCAGTATGGAAACCCTGAGGGACTACGTTATCCCGGCGATATTCAGGGTATCAAAGGGGTCGCCGGACCAAATATTGGAGAGACTGGGTTCCCACACTGGAATTCCGCTCGTTGTTTTAGTCCCCGCCGTCATGCAATCTTTGCTGTCGGCAAAAAATGTCGAACCAGCAATTCAGTTTGGTACAACAACGATTTGCAAATTATAAGTGGTTATCTTATGTAAAAATTTATAAACTTAGCAATATTTTGTAACAGCTCAAAAATATCGGTTGAGATTCTCCAACCCGCAACTCCGTAGGGCTGTTGCTGACGTCTACTTCCGAGACAGAAATGAGAAGACATTTGTACAAATTATTGGAACAGCAAGGTATTGATTAGTTTTTGACAAACTCGTAGACTTATACATTCTGTGGGACTTTTAATTATTGTCCAAAGAAATTCTTAAAACAAGGACGATATTTCATGAAAGTGAAATATTTTGTACGTCTGTATGAATTATGCAACTCTTTTATATTTAATTTAAGTAATACTGCAAATTTCTTGTTTTAGGTTTTAGCTTATAGTTTCAATGTTTGAGCTTGTAATAAGTGCATAATATTTCAGTTTGGACGGTGAAGACAGAGCTCGGGAAGCCGTTGGACTCATGGTCATGGACATCTTAGAACGTTGCAGAGACAAGGCGGAATTCATTTTACCTATATTCAAAGAACTATTAAAATGCGGAATCGGGCTGTCGAATAGCGGGGCGGAGCTAATTCAAAACAATCTGGGAGACGAGCTGACACCAGAACTTGCAAACGTCATTACACAGCTCACCTCGTCCGACCTGTCGCCCAAACTCGAAATGTATGCACCGACGAGGAACCAGCCCCAACAATTAGAGGAGAAGTCAGTAGCGGAGCTAGAAAAAATGCACGAAGAAGCGCTGAAAAATGGGAAACCTACCCGGGGTCTTAAAAAGGCATTGTTGTTTGCATACTGCAGAAAAAGGGACTTGGACAAGGCTCAATCATTGCGGCAGGTAATAGTTATACATTGTCATTTCTATTTATTTTTTTACAATTAATTTATTGGGCATAGCATATGTACTTGTAACGATGTTTTTGTGTAGGAACTCGCGGCGGATGGTTTCATATTTCCGGTGGGACTTCAGGCACTCCTGCTAGACCTCTATTCTAATTCAAACATGATTGAGGAGGCTAGAGCCATGTACACTACTCTTAAAGCGTCTCTAGATTCTCCAGTAGACGATATAAAAATACTGCACTATGCAGGCCTATTGGCTTCCAATGATCTCATCGACGGTAAGTCTTATCCAATTACTTAAATAAGTCAGTCCAATATTTACTTCACAGAATGCAAAAAATACTGGCCGTTTTCGCAGAGTGTGTCAATGTCCTTGAAACAACTCCTCGAGACGAAAGTAGGAAACCATCCGGCGGACATCAGCAAATAGCTGCCTGGAAGATTCTCAACTCTTGCGCAGAGAAAGGCCAAGTTGAAAACACATCCAAACTCTTCCAAGTTTTACAAGCCCGAAATTTAATGCATGTCAATAACGTAACACTGGGTCCGCTTGTTAAAAGTTACATTGTGAAGTAAGTTATTAATAGAAGATTAGAATTTATAATAATTAGTGCCCTTGTAGGTATGATTAATTTGAATATTATCTGATGCAACGGTTTCTAGGGATGACATGGAGGGAGCGTTGACAGAGTTTGAACGCTGTGTCCGTGACCATCACGCAACGCCATGGAAGCAAGACCTATTTTGCAAGTTTATTAACGCAGAGGACACAGATCGCCTCCAGAAAATAATTGACCTTAGTACTAGCCTCCACGGCGAGGTGAACACAATGTACGACTTGGTTTTCGCATTCATTCAGTGTGGAAAATTGCGACAGGCCAAAAAAATTTTAGAGGTACTTGGCTTCAGAGCAACTGGCCAACATTATTTTCAACATATTTGCTTGTGATAAATAATTAATTCCGAATTTCAGACACCTGGACTTCGCTCACGAAATGACAAAATTGAACTGACCTGTCAGAAATATTTAGAAGAAAACCGTATCGGAGAATTGGAGAATTTAATTAAGATTACCACCGATCTCGTTCATCTGGATAGACACACAATGTACTTCTATTTACTCCAAGCCTACTGCAAAGCCAATGATGCCGACAAAGCACTCAGCGTATGGACATCACTTCAAGAGGAGAATATTCAACCCACGACGGAACTGCTGTCATTTTTGGCCGATTTTTTACGAAAGAATAACCTGCCTATTCCGTTCGCACCTCCCGCCCAGGATGAAGAGGATGTTCCATTGACGGAAAGTAGCAGGAGGTTTATTAGCGGTCGTGGTAAAAAATCGGAGCTGGGGGATGAAGCCACCCTGCCCCGGACTACTAATCCGTTAGTCAAAAAGTTTCGCCAAAGCATAGAGATCAATGATATTGACGTGGCCTTGCAGATGAAGCAAAGGTAAAAATCGATACGATTTAATTATTTTTAGCTTTGGTAGTAATTAGTCATATGCATTCATTACTTCCAGACTTGACGGATCAGATTCTTCAGAGAAACTTGGGCTACAAGACTTAAGCCTCCTGGTAGAAAAAATGGCTCGAGCTGAACGACTCGGTGAAGCTACAAAGCTGACTGAAGAAATGTTCGACCGAGGACAACATCCGTATCCTAGGGTTCTTCGCTTTTTGCTGGGGCGCCTAGCAAGTGCTGGTGAGGCTGACGTCCTAGACCGACTCGAAAAGAAACTCACACCAGTACGTAATACTTTATATTGATCGAGGTGCATATTATTTTAAATTATAATTGGATCGTTTATGTGTTTCTTGTTTCCCAGGAGCTGAAGCGACAATCCATGTTCAATACGCGTCTATGCGTTGCTTACACTAATGCTGGTAAAGGACGAGAGTATTTTCAGGAGCATATAAAAAAGACGGTGGATGGCCTTCAGTTGTCGGGTGGGGACGATAGTTCACAGTCAGTTCCCTTGGCTGGTGCCACCTACGTTTTAATTCGACATGAAGACCTATTGTCAGAATGTAAGTTGCATTTTAATTTTAGCGAGCAGTTATAGAACATATGCAACAAGTAATTTGTTTTCGTTATTTTGTATACAGATGAGCAGTGTGCGAAACAGGCGGAAGAAAAGGAGAACTATGTCCTGACTAACTCCTTGTGGAACTACCACTTAATCAAGAAAGATTTTGAAAAGGCCAAGGAAGTGTGGAATGGAAAGGTACTTCTCAATTATTTAATTTATTAATCACGGCGAGTGTTAAACTTATTAGTGGTATTATTTTTCAGTTGAAATCCCAGCCACGTGTAATGTTTCGCTCAGTTATGGTCGAAGCGAAGGTCAAACAGGACTTGGACATTGCAAATGAGCTAGCATCACACATTGGACAAGCTACTGGCGATATGTCGTCAGCGACCAGGGCAGCGGCTTCCGGCTGTCTGCTAGATGTTTTATGTAAATTTCACAAGCCATAAGGATAGATGTAAAATGATTGAATTGCATAATTATTGGTCAAATCGATGTTTTGTTTGATTTAGGTATGAAAGGAATGGCGAATGAAGCATTTGCACATTTGGAGAAGAGTTTGAAGCAGGGGCTCTCACTGACTGAATATCATCGCGAGACTTTGCTTGCTGTGCAGCTGGAAATGCAGAAAGTCAATAAGAAATTCCCTTACGAAATCCCACCCCCACGTCAACCTGTAAGCAACTAAAAATACAAAATCATGATCAGCGAATTATGGAATACATTACATATGAACGGTGACTAATCAGCGATTTTTGTTTTCATATTTTTTCAGAGAGGACGACGGCAACCAGTAGAAGCATCGGACAGCGACAGTGATTAGATTTAAAATTGAGTAGTGCAGTCGTTAGTTTAATAATTAGCACTTCCTTACATACAAGAAGTTTCCACATTACTGTTTTAAAAGTTTTAATAAATAATTTATATTACATACCACCAGTTTACTTATAAGTAAGAATTATTCAATTCAACAACGAGATCCACCACTAATTTTAGAATTTGGAGTCCAGTATTTTAAGATGTTACTGTGGTCAGTGTGCGTTGATTACACCAATTTTTTTGGCGGGGGAATTACCCTGGGGGGCCTTATGGATTTATAACATGGTGTACATAGTGCACATTGGGACACAGATTTCTCTGGAACGGGTTGATGGATCCGCACAAAATTTTTTGGTGGTAATCTATATCTAAGTACTCCACCCCTTTTAAGTGTTTTTCAGAAATTCGAATTTTGAAATTTATTTCGAAAAAACCAGAAATTTTTTGTTTCGATTTACGAATTCCATTTGTGGTCACATTGAATAATGATCATCAGATTTGATAAAATATGATAAAACTAGACTATTTAATACTGCTCCAGCAAAAATGGCCTCTATTGTTACACACTGGTAATGTTTGTCTAACATGAAACACCACGAAATCAAGCATCACGTTGAAGTGAACAAAATATAATTAAAATATATGTTTAAATGTCTAAATTTCATAATCGTTCTGTTCAATATTTATAAATCATATTTTCTCATAATTGTCCAATGTAGCAACAAATGGAATTCGTAAATCTAAACAAAAAATTTCTGTTTTTTGAATTTTCGAAATATTTTTTTATAAATTTCAAAATTCGAATTTCTGAAAAACACCCAAAAGGGGTGGAGGTACTTAGATATAGATTACCACCAAAAAAATTTGTGCGGATCCATCAACCCGTTTCAGAGAAATCTGTGTCCCAATGTGCACTATGTACACTATGTTATAAATCCATAAGGCCTCCCAGGGTAATTCCCCCGCCAAAAATATTGATGTAATCAACACACACTGACCATAGTAACATCTTAAAATACTGGACTCCAAATTCTAAAATTAGTGGTGGATCTCGTTGTTGAATTGAATAATTCTTACTCCTATGATATCACTCGACCACGCCAAAAATAATTTACCTTGGCAAGATTTGAATGAAGATGGACAACCCCCATGCAAAAACAATATTAAACGAAATGCATCACGCTCTTCGAACGTGTGGCCTTCTGAGTTTTTTTCGTGACTAGTTAAAACCTTCCAAAATAATTTTTCTCAGATTTGCGCCTTAATCTCGCCTACATTTTTTTACTGGAATGTTCAATTTACTGCATGGAATTAAAATAAACTAGCCAGGTTTTTGTAGGCTTGGATATATTTTAAACTTTTTCGTCAAAAATATATAAATTAAACCTCGGACATACATACATAATATAATAATTGCATTATCCTTATTATGCTACGGGCTGGAACTTAGAATTCTACAAAATATAAATATGATGTATTATGGCTCGACAATAACCACATATTTACATATCTGGAAAATATTAGGAAAAATAAATCTCTCATACAAAACGCAAAGAAAAATGCGGATGCCTTGAATCACGACGAAGCATTGCAATTCTCTTAATTGACACATCCTGCCAATTTATAAAATATTTTTGTGAATAAGTTTTAGAATTATTGTGTACTGTCTATCTCTAGCTTTGCGGCCCATAGAGGACATCGAGTATAAATAAATAAACACAAGATAATATCATTATAATCGGATAACCCTTAGAATTGTAAGCATGTTCATGCCCATCACAGTTGAACGCTTTTTTCCAAGCTCAGCCAAGTACAGAAGAAATGTTGAAAAATCCAGCGTATTAACTTCCGATTGCATATTTAGAACAGTCAAAGGCAATTCGCAATTCAGTCTGGGAGTTTTGCTAAGTTCCTCCCTATAGAGAGGAAGAAAAGTTCCTCTCTATACGGAGGAAGATGTACCTTCCTCCCTATAGAGAGGAACCCAAATTCGTCAAGGGCCGTTCATATTTGCATGTTGTTAACATTGTTCCCATTGGTAATTAAGCTTCTATTTTTCATGGAGGTGGCAAAGTCTTGAAACTATGCACCGGATTAATGTTTTTAGTACTTTTAATCATACCCGCTATACATATACATATATTACAAACATTTTTGTGTATGAAATGACCTAACTTTTAATAAACATTGTAGATTTACGAAATTACCATTCCAAATGAATAAAATTCATCCGAACAGCACTCATGCATATCGTAATATTATGGACCAATAAATTCGTAACTAAATGTTAAAGTTTGATTTGATTCAACCACTTTGCTTGCACGTTATAAATAATGGGTTGCATGGAGTGTACATACATATATGTAACTACCGACTCGGTTTTATCCCGAGGGTTAACATACATTAGGTCAATTTTATACCATCCATGTATGATGTACGTATGCATGGCTTGACCGCGTTGCTGTCAACCTTTTTTTGTCAGTACCATAATTAAGTTTTTGGTGTGTTAAATATTCACATTTAGTCCTCGCTCTTTCTGAGCCTTAGTGACAACGTACAAAATAGATGATTTCACTCAATATATATTTTTTACCTGTTCATTCTGGAAAAATTGAGAAAATTAGTGTTAAATAGTTTAAAATATATGCCCATACATTCGGATCTGTTCCCCGGCACGTTCTGCAAGAATATATTCTATGTCAATTGAGCACGGAAAATTATCAATCATTAATCCATGATTTTCGTTTCAGTTCTTGACGTATAGGAGTGGCACCAAAATTTCGCAGTTTCTACCCTTATTCATATTCGCACATTTCAAAAATCAGGTGGGAATCTAGCGTTCCCGTAATCCATTTCGAATTGTGAGTCACAAAACTATTTCCAATTGAATTTTCATTTTCGGCCATTCCGCACACTCATTGATAAGGGTGATAAGAAGAGTACGAATATGTACATATTTTAAACTTTTTCAATAACAGCCCGATTGAATTGAAACTTTAGGATCCTGCTTACGATCAGGAATATTTAGGTCACACGGCAAAAAAATGTTTTCAAATATTCTACATATTTGGACGTTTTCATACATATAAATACAAATGTTGTTACATATTTCGGAGATTTTGCCAGAAATGTGTATTTTTTGATAAACATAAATATGCTTTTACATGTTTTGGCGATTTTGTAAAAAATATATTTTTTTATACACATAAATATGTTTTTACACATTTCGGCTATTTTTACAAAAAAAACATAGATTCTTTTTAAAAACCTCAGAAATTCACAATACATAAAGAATTAGAAATCGTATCAAAGCATGCATAAATGTTATTATTTTGTCACTTTGAAATGTAAATGATTTTTTTTCGTTTCTGCAGCAAAAAAACGTTTAATTTGAAGCAATTTAGATCGAATTAAAAATATGTTTTATACACATATCTTGGCGATTTGATTCAAAATTTTACATAGATATTTCGGGGTTTTTAAGAACGTATTTATCCGGACTTTGGTGATAAGGGACTTCTTGTGGACCCAGGCAATATTTTCACTTAAACATGTAAATTTGTGGCGTTGGACATTACTTCTGTGTTACAGCATTATAGCATTCTGGGTCACCGACTTTCGTAACCGTGGAATCGTGAAAATAGTAGCAAATTTAAGCAATTTACGGAACATTGAAATGAAATTGATTGAAATAAATATTCCGTAAAAGCTGTTGTTAATCTTTCCTTTGCCTGAAATCAAACATATGTACACATATGGTGTCCAAAATATCATGATTCTTTTTATTTTGGCGAATTTTTTTTTACGAACAATAAACATGGTATCACCTTGCGCATATTTACAACGGTTCGTAATTATGAAATGTTTGTTGATGTCATATTTATGAAGCGTGAAACCGCTCATTATAATTGAACCTTGAAGCCAGGATATCGCCATCGAATTAGTATTCAAATATTTACGAGACCAGAAAAGTGGTGTGAAAATTGACTCACTATGTAAATAATACAAAACCTTTGTTCTGAGTTGAATTTAATTCCAAATTTTTAATTACTTGATATTTAGATGCCCAAAGGACGACGAGTTAAGAAGCATTGTGTATACTTACGCCACGACATTTTACATACACCAGGATGCAACCCAACGCAAAACTTAAGGAAGCATGTTCACAAGGACACTTTCACGAAGCTCCAAGTTGCGCGGCTGCTGTCGAGTTCTGCAGGGAAACCTGGAAAATCTGTTTGTCGCCCATGCTTACAACATATTAGGGACGCGTTTGAACCTGGGCAACAACGCGAACAGGAATCTGGATCCTCATCTTGCAGTTCAGAAGACGAGGATGAATCGGAGCTACAAGTGTCGCCGGAGGTGCAAGCAGTTCTGGATAAACTTACTTCTGGCGAAATCACTGAACACGAAAAATGTTTGATTGCACGGGCGCTTGGTTCATCTCTGGAACAAAATATTGAACTCGACATTCTCGACCTAAAATCCCGCAGCAATACAATTGACTATTTGAGATCATTAGATGTTAACAAATATCTCAAAGAGAGGCCCGCCCCGATTTTGGAGTTTTACAAAAGTATTTGCCGTTTTACTCGAAAAATGACCCCTGAGTCCAGGAAGATGGCCACCAATTATTTGTGCAAATCGCTGGAGGCGTTATACGGTGCGCGAAATTTGAAATTTATTGCCCCATTTTCGTTCATGGAGAACTTAATGATCTACTACATGTCTCAAAGTAAAACAGCAGCTGAAATTTTCGGATCAAGTTGCCCCGGTGGTGTCTACAGCACCCTTAAGTCTTTCATTCACCGAGAAACTACTTCTGAACTGAAATGCCCAGACGGGGATGTAGTTGTCGCATTTGATAATAATCAACGATTATCCAGGAATTGGCAGATTGGTGTCAATTCAAAAATGCCAATGTCATGCATAACTAGCGTCTGCTCTATTATTCACCCTCGAGGCGTCGAACAAATTATCGGGGAACAAAGCCCGGAACTATGGAAAGAGTTATCTCCGTCCGACTTAATGGGACGCTACACTTCTGTCCTTGAGGAAGAGGACACAATTTTGCGAGGTTACCGATATGGGCTTCTGGACAAAATACTTCTGCA